GAAATTGTTAGGATATTTTTCATGGATTTTATTTAGGACTTTTTTTCAGGGCGAGGATTTTATTTAGGACTTTTTTTCAGGGCGAGGACGTTATTTATGATTTTTTTCAAGGCATGAAATTTATTGATGGAATTTTTTGCTTTCTTACCAAGTGGGAAATTTTTTTAGGACATTTTTCCAAGGCGTAAAAAATGTTTATGCAATTTACCAGACATCAAATTTATTTACAGCTTCTTGACAGGCATGGCATTTATTTAAGAATTTTTTTCCAAGGCGTGAAATTTATTTTGATTTTTTTTTAAGACGTAACTTTTTTTTATGATTTTCGGGGGCGTGGAATTTATTTATGATTTTTTTTTTCAAGATAACGAATTTGGTGTGACAATTTTTAGCCGAAATGACTGTTAATTGGTACTTTGAATGTACATTGGGTATAAAATCTCCCTACTGAAAATGAGCAATATTGGTCGATGTTTCGGAGTAGCCCCCATAAAGAGGTATCCGCTAAATTTCGATATTTTATGGGCTTTTGGGCACGTTTTCAACCAAATTGTCTCCAATTTGATAAAACAGATTCTCATTGGGTAAAAATCGTTATACCAAATATAACCAATATTGGATCTTGGTTCCGGGTAGCCCCCATTTAGGGGTATCCCCATTATTTTGTATTTTTAGGCCTTTGGACATGTTTTTTAATCGTAATTTTTTAACTGTAATTTGATATTTTTCGTTCTCATGTAGCTTCAAATCCTCCCACTAAAAAATGTTAATACTGGTCAACTTTTCATATATGGATACATCACATACGATTTGCATGGTCAGGATTGTATCCATTACATTGAATGGAATGACCGAGCCAATATTGCTCTGTTCAACCTTGTTTCAATTATTTGATTTGAGATTATCTGTTAAGAAATTTAATTTTTGTCCAATGGTTCGGCATATTCGATTTTATATGCACACCATATTTTACATAATGTTATGGTGTCACTACGCCATAAGGTGCCAATAAATTTATTTTTCACTGTGTGTTATAGCACAAATAATCCGTGCCATCCTTTTAATTGATTCTTCTCAACGATTCTTTTCTCTGTTAGATATACAGGGTATTTGAATTTTTTAAAGTTTTGAAGTTAATTTATTTTGTACACCAAGATTTCACTTTATTCACATTTTATTAATTTTAGATGGTGACAAAAAATAGTGTATTTTTTACTAGGTATTTTCCTATTTATTTCTAGCATTAAATTTAATAACCGACTTTCGCTTTTAGAAATCACTATTAGCCAATAAAATTGTCTCTACAATAAAAAATACCAAATAACATTTTTTAAACAAACTAGAAATTCTTAACAGAAAGAAAGCTCATCATCAATTTTCTTCTTAAGAAAAAGAATGATTACCTATTTCCTTTCTTCTTTAATTTTCTTCTTTTACTTCTAGAGAAAACCCTAATCTCTTTCATCTTCCGGTATTATTTAATTTTATCATCATCATCATTGTCCAGTCCACATCATGATGGTATCGTTTCGTACACATGTACGAAGCATTTGACCAGCAGAAAAAACAAAAACAAATGTAATGTAACAAAAACAACAGCAACGACAACAATAAACTTCCTACGGTCATAAAAAAAGTTCATAATAAAAGTTCAAATGCCATACCAGGCTGAATGACTACCTGGCTGGTTAACTTACCACATCTAGGCAAAAAAAGTCGTAGTCGTCGTTTATAAAATGGCCCAAGCGATTACACTTGCAAGCCAGCGGCAGGTAAAGTCACTTGGAATAGTTAGTTGTGTTGAGCTGTGCTGAGCTGAGCTGTGGTGCCTTGGTATGGAAGTTGTTTTGGTAGCATCCAAATGGCTTTGTTGGGTAGGTCGTTTGGTTCGGTTTGTTTGCCTTTTTTTATTGGCTTTTGCTCAATTCACTGTTTTTTTCAGTTGTGGCTTGTAGTTGTTGTTGTTGTTTTTATTTCTGCTTCTTAAAATGAAATGAAAAACTTAAGAAACAAGCACTTTACGAGTTTTCTTTACCACACTTGTTACACATACACAGCCAGAAAGGCAGACACTGACAAGCATAACCAAACACACACACTCATACATACACACTTGCCAAAAAATGCACTTTAATATCCAGGTGTGCAATGGAGATTTTTACTTATTTTTTTGCAAATTCGCCAATACTTATAGAATTCTTATAATGTTATGTTGATTTCTTTTAATATTTTATTTTTGTTGTGGTTCTCACTTCACTTTTTTATTAACGGCCACTCCAAAACAAAAGAAATGCTTTTGTGCAAACATGATCCACCACAGTTACATTAAATTGCAATGCAGAAATAGTTTTGCATTAAATGTTGTTGTTTTGTTTAGTATTCCTTTTGTGTTTATTTTGTTTGCTTCGCTGGTATTACATAGTAATATTTGTTGTTTGTTTTTTTATTATTTATTTATTTTTTTATGTTTTATTATTCTTGTTCTGATTACAAAACTTCATTTACAATCTCGTTTGTTTTCCATCGCACACTCACTAACACTGAACACCAAACCAAACATTCTTCTCATAAATCATCGCACTTGTTCTTTGTCAATTGCAATTGTTTTTTTTTTACTTCTTGTTTTCCCGCCTAGATCAGCTTTTATATCGTCGACGTTTATCCGCGCCTAACGTCTTCTTCGTTCAAAGTTTAATCCAACAATGTTCGTTCAACATGCAACCGCTTTTGGTTTATCATAAAATTCCACAAATGTACAATGAGAGAGAGAGAGGAAGTTGTACATCTCTCACTTTCTCTTCTCATGTTTTGTTTACTTCATTGGTGGAAACTGTTCACAGTGACTGTTATTCATAATAACAGTTACAACAGAGGTTTTGTTTAATTGACGTAAATGGTGTATAGGTGGTGTTAGTGTATTGACGACATACACAACTAAATGGTTTTCTAATAAGAAATGTTAATTTGGTAGTCGGAATTTAACTAGACCTTCATTTCTGTCGTCCTTGTGATAATTTCTTAAATATATCTCACTATCGACCTTACGCCATTATCGCACAATCATCCGCCCACAATATCAGCAATATATATGTTTAAGGAAATCATCCATCAAATTCTGAATCCCTCACATGATTGGCGCCCAACACATAATCCGTTGTCAATCGAAACATATATAGCTGGATGGGAGGAATCTCAATACCTTTTCATTGCAAAGTCAAGTAATGTGGCAGTAGTGCAATACATTTTACGTAATTACACTCGTTGTATTGAGAACTTTGGCAGCGATCGAAAAAGGGAAATGGAAGAGGAGTCCTACACCAGATGTTTCGGTTGTGTCGTACTCCGATGACTGTACGGCTATTTCTTCTGGCATTAACAATGTCGAAGTTGGCATTTCTTAATACAGAAACCATATTTTTATAAATGTATGGCTCCTGAACCAGGGCGATGTTCACTTCAGAGTTCGTGAAAGATGAGAGTAGTTCGACGGCGGAGGCTTTGCAGCGATGCAGGTTAATCTCCAGGATGTGCAGCCTTTGCCGCTTCCCTACTCTTATTGAGCTTCGTGGGGTGTGACCAGTCGAAACCGAGCCCATTCTAAACCAAAGTTCCCCCACCTAGGATTCTTCTCCGCAGTTTGCTGCTCAACGACAGCCGTATACGACGTCGATGTGTCAGCCCGACGCGAAGTCATCCTCTACTTGGATGAAGGTTATGGACCTTCTGATGAGCGAATGCGCTTCACAGATTTGTTCAGCGGGGCAGTATACGTTCGTCCAGAAGGTGATGGTTTCTTGCTAGACTTGCCCTTATTCCTATCCCTACCAACGGTGGGGCTACTCAAAGCCTTATCACTAACCGCTTCACCTTTGTCAATTGGCGTAGAAACGGGGTTTGAGCCAGAGCTCTCCACATATCGATCACTCGCATGGATGACAGTTTGTGTCGATGTATGCTCGACAGCCTTTTCCATTGCTCTTTGACTTCGTTTGGGCTTCGGTACAGAAGTCAGCTTCACACATTTGCCAGGGACAGTAGGCTTCGTCGACTTTACTACTTCGCTCGATTCCGAGGCCTCCTTGGAGATTTTCGACCGAGCTGCCTGTTTCGGAAGGGAGATCCTGTTCATCTGGTGCGCACGATTGAAAGCGTGCGGGTAAGTCCTTTCGAACATCCTTCCAAATTTCATATTGCCCTTGATGAGATGAGCCTCTCTTTCCGAAAGAAAATTCGCATCTCGCCCTAAGAATTTGCGGAGGTATGACACGGAAGCTTCTCTGGCAGTTACGACCTTTGAATCCTTGTCCGTTGCTTCGCTTCAGTCTCGGTCTGTCTTTCAAGCTTTTTGGCGGCATTTGCCGACACAGAACCTGTTGGAGTCAGACTTGTCTTCGGTCGGTCATCAGAGTCTACACTTCCTTCGTTGATGTCACAGCAATTTTCCTGTGAAGACTTGGCAGGAATCTCCGTGGTGTCCAGCTCATCATCAGTCAGGGTAAGATTTAGTAGCAGTTTCTGTCCATAACTTTCGGGTCAAATAACCGGGAACGTCCCCCAAGAAAAAGATATTCCTATAATTAGGGTAAAAATACCTACTTCTAGAAGAAATTCAAAGAAATCAGACCGTTTTTACTAAACTAGAGTTAACCCATTACAACTACTACTAATCGCAATTTTTTTAAATTGTCTTTTAAAAACTTATATTTTATAAAATATCGATAAATTTTTCGGAACTCGTTCTTATCATTTATGGTTCCATTCCGGAAACCGGAATGATTTACATTCCTCCATGTCTCATTCTAAACAGGTACCACCGCTTTATGCTTCACACTCATTCGTAAACATGAAGAGGCTAACATCCATTTTGTTTCGCTTTTCACTTTTATTAGTCATTCCCTGCTGTCTCCCTCTGTTCGTAGCGGGCGACGTTTTTTGATTAGGTAGATTGGGTCGCCCTCGTTGACGTTGCATGCGGACGAATTTCACTTAACACATCTTTGCGGACGGTTTGCAAAAATAAAAACAAATTCGGAATGGATCATTTTGACAAGAAAGATGTTATACAAGCTATCCTGATAGCCGACAATAATGTGGAGAACTTTAAGCCATTGTCCGACAATGATTCTACGGTGAGACCAAGACAAAATTAATTGTTCAAAAATTACCGAATCTAGTTGGATGTCTTTAATTTTCAGGCTCTCATTCCTTTGGTTAATGTAGCCATGTTGGATTATGCCCTGGAGGCTTTAAATCGCAGTGGTATCGAGGAGGTATTTGTCTTTGCCAGTCAACACTTGCAAAGTGTTCGTGACCATATCAAGTAGGATGGAATTTGACTGTGTTGTTGTTGTTGAGGATGGTTTCATTTGTTTACCAATTTTGTTTGTTATTTCATTGGAACAGGAAGGGAATTGCATCACTCAATTCGTGGTCGGTGAATATGAAAGTCAATGTCATTGGTGGTGAGGGATGTCGTTGTTTTGGCGATGCCATGAGAGAATTGGATAGCAAAGCTTTGATCCGTGGCAATTTTGTTATATTGGGAGCCGATACCGTAACCAATGCCGATTTTAGACCCATATTTGAACAACATAAGTGAGTGGACGACTGTTACCTTTTTTGTTACTAAATTAAGATTAATATTTCGTCTCTCTCTTTTTAGAAAAATAACCAAATATGATAAGGGTGCTGCAGCCACACTCATTTTCAAGGAAGCCGAAAATCATTTACGTACCGGCAATGAAATCATGATTGCCGTTGATGTGCAAAACAACCGTCTGCACCATCATCAAAGGTTGCGTCTGAATGGCAAGGAAACAAATTTCGAAATACCCCTAGAGGTATTTATGAACAATTCCCAGGTGGCTTTGTACCACAACATCATTGATCCCCAAATGGCAATTGGTTCACCCTCCATGCTTTCCCTGTTCTCCGACAATTTCGATTTCGAAACCCGCGACGATTTTGTCAAAGGCATTTTGATTAATGAAGAAATTCTAGATAGCCGTATATATGTATCCTTACTGCCCAGAGAACAATATGCCCGCAAAGTCAACAATTGGCTGACATATCAAATTGTCAGCAATGATATTATTAGTCGTTGGGCCTATCCTCTGGTACCCGATATGGGTGTTGTGGGTTTGAAACAACAATATATCTTTTTGAAAAATAACATTTATCGCAGTCCTGAATCGAATATGGCTAAAGTCATATTGCGAGAAAATGTTTTGACCGGTGCTGGCAGTTCGGTTGGAAGTGGTTCATATCTGAGCAGCAGTGTCTTGGGGAGAAATGTTAAAATTGGACAAAATTGTCGTTTGCTGAATGCTTTCATATTAGATGATGCCGTGGTCGAAGATAATTGTGTTTTGGAATTTTGTATTGTTGGTGCCAAGGCGAAGGTGGGCTTTAAATCTGAACTGAAGGATGGTTGTGTGGTGGGCAGTGATTGTGTTTTGCCTGCCAATACGAATTTATCTGGGGCCATAGTTACGGCCAAGGTTACAGAAGATGATCAGGGTAAGTTAAATATTTAAATATCCATAGGTTCGTAATTAGTTAAGAATTAAGAAGATGTGATCGCAAATGTCGGCCAGAGGACTTATGACGGGCTTAAAGGACACCAGATGGGGAACAGTGCTGACAGAGAAATTGGAGAGATCCACGATAATTTTAAAATTTATATATTTGACTGAAACCCCCAATTATCTTATACTTCTTTCCATTCAGAACTTGGTGATATCAAAAAATTGGGTGATAAAGCCTTCATTATCACGGCTGCAGATCCTAATAAGGCAACTTCTGATGATGAAAATGACGACGAAGATGATGATGGTGATGACGATTTACCCGAAAGAACTGCAGCACCCAAAATGATGAAGCTGCCAGTAACCTATGAAGAGAGTGATTATTATTCCAGCAGTGATGAAGATGAATCGAGGCCATGTTCACCCATGCCCGACGACACCAATAGTAAGAAAAAAATACAATTTAATATTATTACAAATCTCTAATAATATTTTTATTAGTTTTCCTTTCCGAGGTTATTGACTCCCTATCCCGTGGCTTTCAAGAAAAATCAAATCCTGATTTTCTTATATTGGAAATTAATTCCTCACGTTATGCCTACAACATGTCCCTTAAGGAGGTTAACTTTAATGTTGTCAAGGCCATCTTTAGTTTGCCGAGCATTAAGGAATGTATGGGTAATGTACTGGTGGATATCAATGCTGTATTTAAACAATTGGGTCCTGTTATGTCGAATTATATTAAAAGCGAGGATGCCATGTTGGATTGTTTAAAGGCATTAGAGGTAGGTCAAAAAATAAAAAACAAAAGAAAAAATCATAAAATTGTTATTTTCTTTTTTTTTTTTGGTTTTTTTCTTTTTCAGGACATTTATGAGGAAAATCCCAAGGTGCGTGAAAAAATCTCTCAAATTGTTCACTTCCTGTACGACAAAGATTTCGTCAGTGAAGAAGCCATATTGGCCTGGCACGAAGAATTGGATTTGGAACAACACGGAAATCTGCGTAAATCTTTACAAAAACTGATTGAATGGCTGCAGCAATCAAGTGAAGAAGATGATGATGACGAAGAAAGTGATTAAATAAAATTAAAAGAATTTTGTTTTTACTTCAAGAAAAAAATTCACTTTTTGTTGCTTTTTTTTTATAATGTCACCATATATTTATTTTATACAAAATACATACGTAATGCAACTGAAACAATTAAAGTAAAAAATAAGAAGAAAAAGATAAAGATTCACCATCAAACAAAATAGGTGTATGCGCGTGTGTCTGTGTCCACTAATGCAAAAAAAAAAATTAAAACAAAAAAGAAATATCTTCCAACACCATATTTAACGCTCTACGTTTCCAGGGCCACCACCACCACCACTGCTATTCATCATGTTGACACTTGTATTCATCATGCTCTGGCCAATACCCAAACGTATGTGGTGTAAATGTATTTGTACATGCTTTTGAAATGTTTCCACATTGCCGCCATACAAACTGGAACGCACCTCTTCTATGCAACCCTCCAAAACTTTGTTGACTTGTGCCGAGTTTTCACTACTCAAATGGGAGGCTACCAAGAGAACAGTTGCCAATTTCTTAATGAGGCTGAGTATGCTCTTATTTTTCAAAATTCCCTGGCTATTACGTTGCACTGCTTCCTCAGCAGCTTCTCGGCATTTCTCCCTCAAATATGATGGTGTTAACATGGCCTGAACTTGTGGATCTCTTGTTATGTCCGAGGCAAAGGATTGCACTTCATTCAGATAATCCTGTATGTCACGATTCATTTTCTCCATGGAAATAATGATTGAAGCATAACGCCTTTGGAATTCTTCACTCAGTTGGGGACCATTGCCATCTGCCGCATTTATATTTTGACTTTCATCCGATGATGAGGACCCGGAGTTATTGTGGGCTGCCACCAATTGTTGTGACACCTTCAACTCGGCTTCATTGTTCATATCATTGAGTCGAGATAATTTGGATTGTTTTATTTTCAAAGCCCGTTTGAGGCGTACCAAAGTCTCCAGCAATTTTGGTGGATAACCATTTATATTCTCTTCACGTATAACGGGATTCTTGAAAGGACTATCAATGACCTCTCCCAACAGGGGATCACTTTTATTCAAATTCATATTGTTGTATGATGAGCGTACTTGGCGTAATCCACCACCAGCGGCGCCACCACGCATTGGTGATACGGTGTTGCGTGTGGCTCCATTGTAGACACTCATCAAACTTGGACGAAAATCTTTGGTGATACACTGCAGTGGCAGCATTTCATTGAAATTCTCCGAAACAATTTCATAATCCGGTATGGAATGGGTACCCAAACCGGGACGATCAAATGTTACACGATACGACGAGGTCATGGATTCGAAGGCATCCACGGTACCACTAAATATGCCATCCTGGGGTACACGTAATCTTGCCGTAACCTTGGTACCCACCGGCAGGGGTAGTGGTATTTTATCAGGCAAATCTCTTAGGAAATTCATGTCCTTGACCTCTCCTGATCTGCGACTTTGCATAAAACGCATTTTTTGCCGTTTCTTTTCCAATTCCCGCCGCTCCTCATCAAAGAAAGCCTGTGAACAACGACGTGGTTTACCCATCAGGGAACGTACTTTTTGCCATTCCGCCCTGGTCAGCTCGCGTGTACGTAAATTGGGAAAAGATTCGGCCAGACAGACTTGGAAATCATTTTCACCCTCAAACAAAGGTTTATCGATGAACGAGTAGAACCATTCGTATATCACCCATTTATGGGCCTTGGGCAGCTTCAAGAGATTGCGAAGACGCATGCCAATCCTTTGGCCGATTTTCTTATCGGCTGGTATAATGGAACCAATCGAACTGCCACCCGGAGTGGTGAGATTGCTATTACGGCTCGTACCAGATTTGGGTGTTGTTATTAGGGAACTGCCACCTCTCGTCGACGTGGATGGTGAATGTTGTCGTTTCTCGTCGGAACGCATGTAGCGCGATGCAACACCTTTACGTTTTTTAAGAATTTTTGTTGGTGTCTTGTGTGGTGAATTGAGTTTCATTGCATTTTTACGCGGCGATAGGCTCATGCGTAGCGGTTTGTCATCGTTGATAATGTCATCGTCGAAAAAGAGGCGATTCCGTTTTCGAATTCTTGCCGGCATACCACGGGCATTGAGCATTTGTATGGGCTGTTGAGGTTGTGGTTTGGGTGGTGGGGCGGTGCCAACACGTTGCAGGCCCAAGGTAGCTAAACTAAAAGCTGGTGGTGGCTCCTCGGCTTCGTCATCGGACATAGGTGGTGATTGTTGTTCGGAGTCTTTTTTGGCTGTTTTCTGCGATGCTGAAGATGAAGATTCTTCTTCAGCCATATTACTGTCCTCCTCTTCGTGCATTGTCGTTCTTGGTTTCTATATTAAGATGAGCTGTAAAATAATTTCGAAGTTTAATACATTTTTTTTTAGTTTTTTTATAAAAATTGTAAAACGGTTTTGGATTTGTTTGTTGATCTTAAGTGGATTTTTTTTGGTTGCTTTAATTGCATCCTTAGCTAAAATTATGAAAATATAGGACTTGATCTGATGTGGCATGCGAAATGATAGAGTTTGAGAATGTATTTTATTTTTGATATATTTTTCCAATTAATACGATCCCGTTTCTTCAAAGAAAAAAAAAACACTTTCTATTCTTACCTTCCCAAAATAACAAATTCGTTACTAGAAAAATTCTCAACTCTCCCACCCTTTATACAAATTACTTATTTTTTATGATTACTTTTTCTAAATTAAAAATTAATACATTTATTATTGTCCAGAAATTGGAATATTATTTCTTGTTCTGTTTGTTTTTTTCCAAACCTTCGATTTATCTCCATCATCATCAAAATACAATTTCTGAAGTTGGAGGGGGTGGAGTAGTTGTGATCTGTGGTGTATGGGTTGGTTGATTGTGAAATAAACATTTACACAATTTTTAATTTTATAATTAATATGGGTTTGTTTATATTTGTCTATGTTTAATTGTTTTTTATTTTCATGATTGAATAATAAGAGAGTTGGTTGTTAGGTTTTTTTTTGGGAAAAATAGAGAGGGGTAGAAGAAAAATATAGCAGGTATATTAAACATAAGCCACATTTACAATAGATATTCGTTTTGTTTTTAATTGCAACAATTTTTGTTTGAGATTTTTTGCCAACTATTTTGTTATTTTTCTTTTTTTATTTTTAATTTGTAATTTTTTTGTATATGTTATAATATAATTTTATTATTTGTATATAATTGTGTATTATGGAAATATTATGAAAATCAAATAAAAATAATACCTGAATTAAAAAATAATTAAAAAATTCACACTAGATGAGTTAAAGCCCTGTTACCTCTTGAGAACCGAAAACTAGAAAACTTCGTTTGAAAAATGCGACTATGACCTAAGAATCCAAAAATGGGAAAGTGTCAGTTATTTATAGAAATTTGTCCTCTGGGAAACCGAATGTCAAATTACAGAGATTTTTTGCCGATATCGATATTGCATACTAGGAAACGAAATCACTATTTCTTCGAACTATGCTAATAACCGAGACATTGACATAGGATAGAAAATGGTAGTCTTCATAGGAGTAACACTGGACTTTTGGTACGGAGGAAGGCTCCATCACATACAGTTTTCCTTCTCGAATTACAGAATTATTAACCAAACATAGTGAGATTGTCGGATGCCTTTAAAATAATATAGAGAGTTTACTTTAGCGAATGAAATAATCCTTTTCTGACGTTTCTGTTTCCATTGAGGCTCACGCTTTTTCCTTTGGACGTGAATCTTCCTCTCTGTAAATCATTAAGAAATCTCTTGACGATTCTGGGTGAAAGGTAAGGCATCGGAAAAAATTGTTGTGTCGTTGTATGGTATGATCGTATCTTAACATCTCTTCGCATATAGATGTGACTTAAAATCAACCGATACTTGTACTGATCCTAGGTCTGATATTGATCGACCCTCGTAATAAATAAGATTTGGTCGAAAAATTCTCAGAGACGTATCTCATGCTGAACGATTTTAAAACGGACACCTCTTACTTACTTAGCTGGCTTTTGGCGCGGTTTACGGCTCTTCCAACTTGAAAGACCATGTTCCGAAATGTTGTCTTCTACTTGATCTTTTCATTGAATTCGTGGCCTTGTCAACGTAGTCGCTGCAGCTCGAAACGTCAGACAATGTTGATGTTCGAGAATTGATGGTACAACTCATGGTTCATTCGACGGCGATATTCAACGTCGACACAGAACGGTCCATAGACCTTTCGGAGAATTTTTCTCTCAAACACTCCAAGAGCTGCCTCATCTGAATGCTCAAGTATCCATGCTTCAGATCGATACAAGAGCACGGGTAGTAACAGCATACGTCGCTTTTCGGAAGGGTCTTTGGGACTTTAGTGCACAATTTATATTAAATCGGACGAAAATATATATGGGACCTATATCTAAATCTGAACCGATTTTCATGAAACTTAGCACACGTCATTCTGGACTTAATTCAGTGCTCTATGCCAAATTTCGTGCAAATTGAAAGATATATAGGACTTTTGGTGTATCATTTACCGTAAATCGGACGAAAATATATATGGGAGCTATATCTAAATCTGAACCGATTTTCACGAAACTTAACATACGTCATTGTAGACTCAATTCAGTACCCTATGCCAAATTTCGTGCAAATCGAAAGATATATAGGACCTTTGCTGTACCATTTACAGTAAATCAGATGAAAATGTATACGGAAGCTATATCTAAATCTGATCTGATTCTTTTCAATTTCAATAGGGTTCGTCCTTGGGCCAAATAAGTGACTTGTGGCAAATTTCATCCAAATCGGATCATAAATGCGATCTGTACTTTGTTTACAATTTAACATCTACAGACGGACGGACATGCATAAATCGATTCAGAAAGTGATTCAATGCATATTCTCAAAAGGAACCATGTGCCGATCTCGTTTCCTTTTGCCTGTTACATATGCACAAAGACATAATGCCCTGTACCACAGTGTGGTGAAGGATATAATCTCGGACATCTAAATACAAGTGAAATTCAAATGAATAACATTCTCACGACACGTAGACGTTTAAATTTTTGTCGAGATCTCATACTTCTCAAATGAACAATTGCTAATAAAAATTGCTAAATTATTACAAAATAATTGTGAACTATATATTTTTTTTTTAATAATTAATGACTGAGTCAATTTATTTAATATAATTTTCGTTTTTTGTTTAAGGAAAAAAAGAAATAAAACTAAATAATACAATTAAATGTATGTATTTATGTATGTATGGAAAATACTATATATAATTTATATTTTGTAGAAGGAGTAAGGTAGGAGGTAAGGTAAAGCGGAGAAAAAAGTGGTATTGACAAGCATTGCACATATCTGATTAATGGTGAGGGGAGGAGAAGCAATTAAAAAAACAGCTTCAACACATCGGGTTATTCAATCTTAAGCTAATAAAAGAGGACATTAATGATAAATATTTGAAAATTTAACTACTAACTATTTAACTACACGAATGAACGAACAAACACGAATACACAAAGATTAATGATTAATAAAAAGGGAATTAATTAAAAGGTATTTTGGTATTATACTAAGGGACAAAGTTCCTCTTTTTTATTTATAACATTGTGTTTATCTACAGGCTGTCAATACCTTTTTGAAAGGGGAAATATAAAGGGATATTTTTTGGGAAAAACATTTGTGTATTTTCTCTCTATATATAGCGGTATTATTGTTGTTATTATTTCATAAATATATATTTCTGTTGTTTTTTATTCTTTATTTGCATATACATAAAACACAATACATTTGTTTAATTTTTTTTATTTATATATATAATATTATTATTGTTGTTGTTTTTGTTTTGCAATAGTTACACTTACTACTATACAATGCAAATAAAATTTTAAATAGATATATGTATATGTTTTTTTGTGTTTAGTTATGATTTAATCAAACGAAACAACAGCAGCTGAATAAAAGTAGTAGTTTTTTTGTTTTGTTTTTTTTTAATAATTGTTTCTAAATCTGCTAAAATTGTTGCTGTTTGTGTAGTAGTTTGTTTGTTTTTTCTTTAAGTGTAGGAATAATAATAATAATTAATTTTAATAATAAAAACAATTTTATAACAGTTTTATAATTGAATATAACAAATATCATTATCGTTTCGTATAACAGTTAATTATGTATGTATATATTTATATATTTTTTTCATTTATTTAAATATGTGTTTTAATTAATTTTCTAACATCTTTTTTACTTTTCTTATATATATTATTTTGTTTGTGTTCGTTATTTGTTTGTTTGCCTTTTGTTTTCATAGTATATCGTCTATGTTTTTTTTTATTATTTTATTAATCATGTCTTATTTGGGGGGTTTTGGGGGGATTCCTTTAGCTACACCTATGACAATGATGGCGGCAACAACATCATAACAATCATGAGTATATGCTATATAAATATTGAATCACCAAGATAAACAAAATCCAATATAACCTGTCATGTGAGAAAATTTTGAAGTATCGACTAATCTCGATTAGTTTGGTATGGAACACAAAGAGACAAGTTTATTGTCAATTGGAGAATTTGTAAGCTGTGAGAAACAAGTAGGGAAATTCTTTCAAACAACTTTATTACACTCTTCAAAAAGTAGTTGATCTGGAGTTTGTATTTTTACTTTGGAAGAGTGTAAAAATTAATATTTAAATCGAAACAATTTTTTATAAAACCACAAGAAAATTTCAAAATTATATATTAAAACCAGTAAGGAAAGTAGTAAAGTCGGACTGTGCCGACTATATGATACCCTTCACCACTTTGGGTATATTATATATATGTGTCCTAACAGCGTCGCCTTTTCGAAAAAACATTGACATGAAATTGAACGAACTTAAATCTAAATCTAAACAGATTTTCTCGACACTTAACACACGAGCTATGGTAGGGATAGGTTTTTACCTCCCAAAGGCACGAAAATCCCCATGAACATGCAGAACAACAACAATTGTGTGCCGGTCGGCCAAACTTTGGTTCTTTAGTGCACAATTTACATTAAATCGACGAAAATATATACGGAAGCTATATCTAAGTATGAACCGACTTTCACGAAACTTAGCACACTTCATTATGGACCTAATTCAGAATTCTGTGCCAAATTCCATGCCAATCGAAAGATATATAGAGACTTTTGTGCCCCATTTATCTTAAATCGGAATAAACCATACACGGGAGCTATATCTAAATCTGATCCGATTTTCACCAATTTCAGTAGGGTTCGTCCTAGGGCCGAATAAGTGAACTGTGCCATATTTTATCCAAATTGGTTCATAAATGCGACCTGTACTTTGTTTACAATTTAACATCAACAGACGGACGGACATGCGTAAATACTCAAAAGGAACCATTGGTCTATCTCGATTTCTTCTGCCTATTACAAAACAAATGCACAAAGGCATAATACCCTGTACCACAGATTGGTGAAGGGTATAAAAATCCAAACAGGCTGAGCCAGCCAGGTTATTGAAAAAATTAACAAAAGTTCTGAAAGCTGAGATGTTTTTTTTTGTTTGTAACGAATAAATAAATTAAGAAATAATTTAATAGCCCGAACAATAAAAATTAAGATAGTATATAAACAAAAATCGGAATTACATCGGAAGGATCAAATCAAGCTGTTGCATTTTTTTACGAAAGGTCTCAACATTTTTTTTAAATAGAAATCTCAAACAATTTTCTCACGAATATTAAATATTTACAGAAATTTTAATGGTCAACAACTGTTACATTATTTTTTATAAAAATCGGAAACAAATTTTCTCACATCTTCTTATTCTCACGTTCTCTATCTTGCGTTACATTCGCGTTCATCATTGTCTTTTAACTGTTATGATTGCCATATATGTATGTAAGTTTGTTTATATGTATATATTTGTTTATATTGTATGTAATAATACCTTTAATGTATTTTCTTTATATTTTTTTCTTTTTGTTTAGTTTTGTTTTTGTTTTTTCATATGCATCAAAATATATAATTTCGGCGGCTTCTAATAATTGATTTAAGTTTTCATATTTTTCTTGTCTTTTATTTCAAGATTCAAAATGAATCCAACAAAAAAATAAATTATTGATTTTGACTTGGGGACTTGGTTTGTTGGCCTTGTTGTTGTTTTAATGTTAACAATATGATTAAGGATTTGGTGTTTGGTTTACTCAATGGCATATATTTTTTATCGATTTTTTTTCACTAAATTTTAAATTTATTATTTATTTTGGTTTTTCCTTTTTTTAAAACTAATTAAAGAAAGGGAATTTATTTTGTTTTGAATAAAATGGGCATCATCTTCGTGTAATGATGATCGCCTACAGATTTTGTTTTTCTCTAAAAATATTACAAAGGAAAATTAATTTTAAAAATAGTTTAACATCAAAAAACATGAATTCTTATTTTTTAATTATTTTTTAAATAGACACATTTGCTGCTATGCGGCTACTCTTTTTGTTTTATTTGTTATTTAGTTAAATTATAACATCTACACACCAACCACCCCCGCCCCCTACACTCCATCCATCATACTCTCTTATGAAGGGAGGTAGGTTGGGGGTGTGGCGTTAAGATGTCCATATAATACCGTTGGGTAAATGTCTTCGGCTTCCACCAAAACGAACATTCATCTCTTTTTTCCTAGTTTCTGGTTCTGTTTCGCATCCCTCCTGCTCCTGCATTCGTTTGTGTGCTTCTGCTTAGACATTAAAACGTGTCTCCGAACCATCGGCCAACATTAACGTCACCGTACGATTATTGATCCACACCAATTTCGCCAGGCGCATCGGATTGAGACGTGACACATCGGGTATTGGCGCCGTCGAATAGCCTTTGGTGCAACGTGTCTGTGATTGGCCCAGGCCAAACATACCCGTACTCGTTTGCCAGAAAGATAAACGATTTTCATTGCATGAATATGAGACCAAATACTTGCCATCGGGTGAAAACGCCAACGAGGTTATCGGATGCGTATGGGCTGGTATCATTTGACATTTGTTTTGTCGCAGCTCGTAAATGGCCAGGTGGCCATTGATGGCACCCACAGCAATTCGTCGTGTCTGCGTACAATGTGATACCTGATTGAAACGGCATATGGCGGGGCACACATCCGGCAGTCCCCGTGTCTTTAGTTCTGCATTATCTAAACAGTGTAGTGTAATGTCCATTACCTCGACCAGGAGGCTGGCAATTTCGGCTTGCATTTTATCTATCAACATCTCGACGCACTGCAGTATTTCTCCCTTGGCCTTGTACAGCACCGACTGGGTCAATGGCACACTTATCGATTGCGGATTCTGTTGCATGCTATTGTAACGGGCCACTTCGCGGGCCATGGTTGTTATAAAAGCGGCCGGTCGCGCTGTGGCAATCAGCCTCAAAGCATGCCGGGCTGTTCGACAGGCATCGGCCTGGGGTGTTAGAGGAAGTTTATAATTTAGATTTGGTACCGATTTGCCATCACACGACAATTCCAACAGACCCAATAATACTTTGCTTACATCCAAGTACGGTTCCCAAACTGTAAAACCACGTCCCAGCAAATCTATAGCCGCCCTCCTGAGGGGAGTGTATTGAGGCAATTTGGGTGTGGGCGGGGCATATAGGAGATGGGCCAATGCCATTGATGTGAGGCGTGCCAAATTATTGGCAATGCCAAAACCTTCAACCACCGATGATTTTCTGCGCTCTGCAGTCGCGGTGGTGTTAATACTGGTGCCACGTACAGGTGAATCCTGATTTATATCTTGACCAAACTCAGCTCCAATCACACCCAACAATATCACAGCAGTGGTCTGTTTACGCTTCAGCTCCGACAAACTGGATGGCTTGCGTATTATCTCCTCCTCTTCCTCTTCGTAATCTTCGCCGCCATCTAGCCCATCTCCATTGTGACCCATGCCACCAATACCGCCAATACTGCCGCCCAACGATGAATTGGAATGACCGTTGGCTCCATTGGCGTGGTGCACCTGTTGAGCTATGGGTTCGGTGTGCGTATACATTGGCAGATATTGAGCCCAGCTCTCTACCAGCTGCTTACGCCCACGTTTGCCCATGCGTCTCAACTCTCCCAGTAATATCTGCTGAGCTGCCTCCCGAATTTCAATACAGTGATGCTGCCAACGTTTCGCCATCATTTCAACCTGAGGTCGTTTAAATTTCTTTGGTTCTAATGCTTCAATCTTGTCCGGCAACAAAAAGCAGTGGTGTGTCGACAACAGACTCCAGCCCTGTTTGATTTGTGATATATGATGGGCCAGCAGTTCCTCACGCTCCTCTTCGGTGGCCATTTGAGACTCGGAACGTTGAGCTAGACGCAACAGCTTTTTACTGCGCTCGCTGTCGGGCAGAAATGAGGCAGAATTCATTGATAACAACGTATTGGACATGGCCACCAAGGCCAAAATGTGATTAGAGGTAAGGGTGGTGCTCAATTCCCAGTGCAGACGGGAGGTGAATACGGCTGTAAGCTGTTCTTGACGCAGCAATTCGGCTGGAATGTCACGTTTCTTAGAGCTGCTTGCAACCACAATTCCCTCGCCCAATTCGTAGTTGTTCTGCCAGGTGGGCAGCAATAGCGACATATAGCCACCCTTGGACAGAATGCCAAAGGAGACAGGGACCATGGGCCGGAGTAAGCCCAGTTGTGACTCACACACCTTATCCAAATGGGGATCCAATCCCCAAGAGTGCAGCAGCGACAACAGCAGTTGGGCCACTTCCATGACATGGGTAACTTCCATTTTTGAGGCCATTTTCGATTTCAAATCAGTGGAGCCATCATCGGGGGTGTCTTGTGGTTCGAGTACCTTTTGTATGCTTTCCTGGACCTTCGCCTGGACTTTCTTTTCCACAATTTCGGTTTTCTCTTTGAATTTCTGTACCAGCCCGTGTTTGTCTTTGTCCTTCAACATCTTCTCCATATCGCCAGCTTTATTCTTTACCTTTCCAAAGAAATCGCTGATCTTCTTTGAGGCCTCCACATGCAGGGCCTTGTCTTTAGGGTTGTTTATAATTACACCCAAAGCTTCCAACTCGGTTGGGGTCATTTTGGCGTATTCTTCACTGTGCAGCTCAAAAATCAAACCCTCGATATCGAAGAACAAAATGTGACTTTCTGCATCCTTGGGATTGGTACGCAGACCCTGGATTATTAGCGGATTGCTGCGATGTTTCATGAGGAAATCAAAATTACCCTGATTGTGACCGTGGAGTTGCTGCCATTGAGTAATGCCGCGCTGAGTTGCATGCCGAATGGCGTTCATATTGCGTGACTTGAGACCTCGGAAAAAGTGTACAGCCGGATTGGCCAAACCCTCTGTATTGGAGGTATGTGAACCGCAGCCAGACTCGTCGGCATTCTGCTCGTCACACACCGCCAATACCTCCTCGGCTAGCATGCCGTGCAAAACGCGATCCAAGTGGCCAGTTTCCATTTGCCAAACATATACCGAACCATCCGAGCAGCCAACTATGAGGAAATCGTCCAATGGTCGCCATTTGATGGTTACCACTGGAAACAAATGGCGACTGGCTAGTGTAATGCATTTGCGTTCCTGCAAGCTGAGCAAGGTGACCGAGTGATCGGAGGCCACCGAGCAAATGCATTTCAAAATACGAGGACTGCACGTTTCAGGGGGCACCAATAGCTGTGTGATTTCTCCCGCATGTACACAAAAGCGATGCAATAGGCTGCCACTGTACAGATCCCAAAGACAGACGGCAAAGTCCACACCTCCCGACAGCAGCAGAGACTTCTCGTAGCGGGGATGGACCAGGGAGGGGCATAGTAAGCAATTAACGCGGCCTCGATGGCCGTACAAAATCTGATGGGAAGGCCATTCGCTGAAATTCTGTTTAATGCCCACCAACAGCTGCATCATGACAGTTTGGGTGGCGGGCACAATGACAATGGAGCCATCTTCCCGCCCAATAACCAGACGACTTTGTTGGGGCAAATAAATGCTGGATGTTAATTTCACCGGATGATCGGTGATACGGGCCAATTGATCGAGAATGCCCACGGGAGGAGGATCCATCAGGGACCAGGCCTCTATTAGAGACGTACAAACCGACGGCTTCAATGTACGCGGAGGCATTTGTTTTGCTTGCAAAATACTTATATTATCAAGAGGAACATCAGGCACAGTCCACACCGAAATAAATCCCTCCGAATCACCACGCAGCAGACAGTGAGATGTGGGTTTGCCCTCGGGTTCGCTGCGTATCAGTTTCATGGCCGGTGGACAGGATAACACTTTGTCGCCCGGATGCTGCAACACATAATACAGATAGGGAGCATCACGCACCACACTCTTCGAATGGAACTCCTTATTGTCAGGTATACAATTTGCGGGTAATTTATACAGATAACCTTTGCCCTCGTCGGTCCAAAGCATTACACGATCCGAACTTATGAAATCACCACCCTGCCACCGTTCACGTGTAGGTGCAATGACCGAGCAAAGTACTGTAAAATCACCGGCATCATAGATCTGCCAATATTTGGTGCACACGATCAGCACCGTTCTCTGATTTTGGGAACAACAATTCATCGTGATGGCATTCAGACAGCGTATCTCCTTCGATTCATTTTCATAGATCGGCTCGGCGTGTTTATTTTCATTGCCAACCAGCGTCCATACCTTGACGGTTCCTGTCGTTGTAATGGCCAGCACCACATCATCTTTACGACGCATTGGTCTCAATACATGCAATGCCGATATCCAATCGGGCTTAACTTTCGAACTGAGCGTATAGATCACCTCAAGGCTGATAGGATCCATTACCATAATTTCGGGATAATAGCCAATACAGAAGAGATGTAGATCAGCACTGTTCGCTGTGTGATAGCTTTGGATTTGTGTATGAACCTGAGGTAACTTCACCGATTCCATGCATTTCCCATCGGTCATATCCCATGTACACATTTCACCATTTTCCGACGAGCTGACCAGGAAATTACTGTCTGGCATAATGGATGCTCGTACCAAGCACAGGACGGGTGCTGTGTGGCCCACCAAAAGGCAGCGGGGTGACATTTTCAATGTACCCGGTTCGACGTGCCACAAACATATTTGCCCGTCATAACAGCCAGTTGCCAATGTGGTTTGATCTTCAGACAAATATACACTGGAGACACAATGAGTGGGGGCCGATGGCCCCCACAGCACAACGGGCACCACTAGATTGGTGCTAACCATGTTTCAATTGCCTTTTAAGGGCTTAATCTGCATATTTCGATTATGGTGATGATGATGACCAGAAATGGGTAACGGGGTATAGTCGAAGAAGAATGTCAAGCATAAAACATTGCAAAGTGATGAGCGGCCGTGAGGATTGAGGATATTAACGGCAATTTGTGTTTTATTTGAAAACGTGACAGCAACGACGAACGGCGTCAATTGTTAGCGTAGCCCAGCAAGAAAAGAAACAACGAAAATATTCTATAAGATAAAATACTCAACAAAAAGGCTAACTCTCTCACAAGCACGTCACACACAATAAGACGACAACGACACCAAAATGTTTCATCGTGGTAACGACGACGAGTGTTGTTCTTGTTTTTATTACACCAGTTATGATCGCTCTGTAGGTTTTTTTTTTCATTTCAATTTTTCAGCAAAGATAAGCTTTAGATAATGGCATAGAATTTTTATAGAAAAAAATTGTTTACCTTAAACATTGTGATCGTTGTTTTTTTTTTTTTTTTGGTTTCGTTAGAAACCAATAACAACAAATAATCGTAATGTGTTAGTTTCGGTTTTGATATGGCCGAGATTAATTGAATATGTCAATACAAACGACGAAACCTCTTTTTAATATGTTTTGTAAACTATGTATATTGAATTTCGTATTTTCGACAACAAAACACATTTACTGTATCAATTAGGCATACAGCGAAGATCATGAAGAGCAAAAATAAGTTCATATTTTGCAGAAATTGAGTTGATGGTGGATTTCTTTTATTACGTCAATATTTAGTCAATTCTTCCTTTCTACTCAAGTCACAAGAAACGTTACTAGACCCCGACATTAGGAATTCTATTAATTTGATTAGAAAATCCCAACACGCCTACATCAAACGCAAATCTGTGGATACAACCTTACATGAGGTGGCGGAACACATTAAGAATACGCAAAATTTCGGCTAGACAATGGATGTGAGCCTCGATATTGAAGGAGTATTTAATAACGTAAAGTTCGATGCTATCCATTTTGCTATATCGAATGTACAAGTGTCTCCTTATACCTAACACAATACCAAACCCTTTTATACTTGACCAAATAAATTGGGGAATGTGAGTGTTTCCATTTTAGCCAAAAGTAGGATTTTTCCTTGACGGACGAGAAAGAAAACATGAAAACCACTTTGGTTAATATCAGGGCCATGGAAGTAACTCCTACAATTCGAAAGAAATCATCAACGTTGGTAAGTGAGTCTTCGAATCTTGGTGGAGGTGGAAACCTTAACTCCGGGCAAAAAGTCATAGAAGATTTAGATGCCATAAAAAATTTTGGGGCTTAACCCACAGGTACCAAAATCATTTTTTATACCGTCCTCCATAGTATGAAGGGTATATTAATTTTGGGGTCGGAAATGAATTTTCAAAATATTCATTTCCGACCCCATAAAGTATATATATATATATATATTCTTGATCAGGGTAAAATTCTAAGACGGTCTAGACATGTCCGTCAGTCTGTTGTAATCTGAAGGAATTGAGATAGATCGCCAAAATTTGGCATAGAGTTGTATTTTGTCTGTACGCAGGTCAAGTTCGAATATGGGCTATTATCGGTCCACGTTTAGGCATAGCACCCATATAAGGGTACCACCCAATTTTCGATATTTTGGTGTTCTTGAGCACGCCTTTTAACCGATTTCGCTGAAATTCGGTACATTGGGTTTTTTTTGGGGTACCAAATGTCTCCTCAATTTTCGGTATTTTGAGGTATTGTGGTTCCCATATAACTCCCTTCATAGTATAGGAGATAGTCGTTACTCGAAATAGTCAGTTTTACCCTACAAATTATGGAATTCTAAGACGATTTAGCCATCGGTTGTAATCATTCCGCTTTCTAGGGAAATCGTGTTAAAAAACTTGAACCTGACGTTAATGATATATATCGGTCAGCATTTAGGTATCTCCCCCAGATAATTATACCTCCTGAAGGAAAGACTTGAGGAGTTCTTGGATCCCAACCGCATCGAGTCAATCACACGGCGACTCGGAGGAATTCTTCTTCGACCAGGGTACTGCCACCTCAACTACTAATATTACCGAATCGAGTATCTCTCGGCTAATAGCTGTAAAACTACAGCCCAACAGTAGAAAAGCTCCAAAAACAATAACAAGGGTACTATACAGAAGAGATCTCGAAGATCATTTAACACATTTCAGATGTTATGGATTTCAATGATATTGATATAAAACAGTTTATTTACAAAAAAAGTTCTTAGTAAATATCATAAACAGCTGTGTTTATTCACTTATATATGTAAATAATAACAATTATGGAACAATTAACGACCTTGTGTAATTAAATATCAATCTAAAATTACACCCCAAGGAGTTATCACACCTCAATTTAATTTTAATTTTTTCTAAAATTAAACCAAATAGCAAATACAAAAATTTTTAAATAAATTTTCTTCTCTTCAAAAGAAAACAATCATCAAAATGTCAATGAACCCACCAAAGAAGTAGCAGCAGAGCAAAAATATACAACAACAAAATACGGCGTCGCCGTTTACATCAACAAAATGTGATAGATTTGTAAATAATGCTAGTATTTAAATTTTTTTTTTTTTTGGGAAAATTTAAATACAATTTGCCTTTTGTTGTTGTTGATAAACTCTTATCGTCCATAGAAAGAAGAAAACTACACATGTTGTTCATCCACATAGGAACGAACGAACAAGTGGTTGGCAAGCTTAAAGCCGAAAACGAATCGTGTTAGATTAATTACAATATGTTTTTGGCCAATATTTCTAATTAACACTGAAATATATATTTATTTGTAGCATTATTCTGCTGATGAAAATACACGCAGAGGCACACATAGACATTCACGTATGTGAATTATGTGAATGTAAATATAAGAAGAATGCCAGGTAGGGTAGGTACTTTTTTTCAAAACAAACAATAATAAGAAAAAACACACACACAAAAAGAGTACAAGTGAAACGTTCTGAAGGCGGGTGAAAACGACAATTTAATGAGCTACATAATGGTGGTTGTCTGAATAGAAGTAGTAGAAAATATAGGAGGAAAATAAAAATAAATATAATAAAAAAATAAGTCATAAAACATTCAAATAGGCCATGCCAACAACTTGACCATGATCTCTCGGTATAAGAGATAGGGATATAGGAGAAAAAGGGCATTCATTGAACATTTTCAGTTCATACCCTCCAGGAAGAAGCAATGCCACATTAAGATCAATTTGATGAAAACTGCGTTTAAGCCTTCACTGTCAAGAGTGACTAATGGATTGATTCGAATTGAATGAAATTTGGCACAGGTTATTTATTTGGCCCAAGGACGAACCCTATTGAAATTGGGAAAAATCGGTTCAGATTTCGATATAGCTCCCATATATATTTTCGTCCGATTTTAGGTAAATAGTGCACCAAAGTCCCTTTATATCTTTCGATATGCACGAAATTTGGCATAGTGTACTAAATTACGAATTTGTACGAAATTTGGCATAGTGTACTAAATTGAGTCTAGAATGATGAGTGGTGAGTTTGGGGAAAATCGGTTCAGATTTCGATATAGCTCCCATATATATTTTCGTCCGATTTTATGTAAATGGTGCACAAAAGTCCCTATATATCCTTCGATATGCACGAAATTTGGCATAGTATACTGAATTAAGTCTAGAATGATGTGTGGTAAGTTTCGGAAAAATCGGTTCAGATTTAGGTATAGCTCCCACATATACATATATATTCATCAGATTTTTCATAAATGGTAGCAGGTCTACATGCCCGGATACAATCCATAAATGGTATCAGTATAAATGTTAATCCCTTCTCTTGGATTTACTATCAACATCTCGGTTCTATGCCATTCAGGAGTAAATATATACGCCATAGAATGTAAAATTTGCCATCTTTAACACAAAAGTCTTGGTCCATTTGACCCGCTAATTATTGGCCTCACTTCATCAAAACATTCATGTTTATTCTTTCGCCATGTATAATTTCATGGTGTTCGGGTCATAATTGTAGCCTCTACAGCCACAGATAAAAACTAACATTTTTGGTCCATTTCATTCCCCTTCATCTAGGACCAATATTTCGCGGCGTTACACACTATGGGGGCCATACAAAGCTATAATACCTTGACAACATAGTTGTGAATAAAAAGCCAGGTACACTCTCCCAAACACGAACGGATGACGTCTTGGAGGCCGACGTAACGACCTACAGCCTTATAAGTCGGGCGGTGGGGATGCGCCTACCTCCAAGGGAAATGTCCAGTTCTAGATTGACTTCTCGCGTCCAGGAAGTGAAAAGTGACACAGTAGACTTTGAAGTGGATAATTTTAGATTACGCTCCCGGAAGGAGTTGGTGATGGTGGCGAAATAGTTGGAAATTCTTGCACATATGTCGTCAATTTTAACGCCGGACGAAATAATCATCGGTGTACGACACCACTGAAACATCTGGTGGAGGAATGGGGAGTTTCGCAAGATGCATGTTGAACCGAATGCGGTACTCCCATTTTGATCTTGCGATATTTGGATTTTTGGCAACGGAACTTAACAAAGGCAATAGAGACTCTAAAACCTTGACTACTGGTGGCAGAAGAGAAATCGCAGCCATTAGTAGCAGATTTATCAGGTTTTAGGATTGGACTAGTCCGGGCAACTTTCCAAATGTTAGAATTACCAACTGCGACATCGGTAACTCGAAAATTTTGGTCAGATAGCCCAGCCCTATTGCACCAATCTTCTTTAACATGAACTGGAGGTGTTGTTGTTCCAACTGCAATATTCAGGCAGGATCTGGACTACTTTGCAAATTACTAAATGCACTTATTCGACTACACCATCCTCAACGTGATTGAACTGGTTACCCTGAGAAAGCATATAAAATGCGTATGTTTTCACATGGTATCTAATTTGGCGATGCCTTACGAATATAAAGAATTAATTAAAAAAATTCTGACCTTAGACATAATTTATCCTATTTAGTCCATTCATAAACAACAACAGCAAAAATTGTGAACCTCTCCAACAACGTAAGACATCCAAAAAGGGGTGACATCCATTCTAAGGACCCCAAGAAAAATGGTTATAAAATTACATATTGTAGTGGCTCATGTAATAATCTGGACTCAAAAAAATGTTTGAAATAACCTCGATTTTTACACAACAAAAGAACAACAACATTAGATTGTTTTACAATGCCAAATGAAGAAAGAGTTCATTGTGTTCCATTGGAAGTTCAAGGTTGAGAAGGTTGAAATATTTGAGAAGTGATTTTTTTTTGTTTTCTTTTAAATCAATTTAATTGATTTTCAAAATGTTTTGAACAAACTTAGAATACCCTCCCTTGCGACTATAGGGTGTATTTTAAAACTAAACAGAAACATTAAACAAACTTAAGCAGCGGCATATGACTACGATGAGCGTATGAGACGGGGATACCTGTGGCGTAATAAAAAACAAGAACAACACAACCACGGGCCAAGAGACAAGACGAGACGCGTCGCGAAAAATATATATAAATGAATTAAAATGAAAATAATTTGTTTTTAATTATTGTTTTGTTCTTCTTCCTTGCTCGCTAGTCGTTTTAATTGTGGTGACAATGCTGATGAGGAGAACCAGCCAGCCAGTCAGACTGGCAAATACGACAACAACAAAAAACAACAACACTTACACTTGTTTCTCCACCTTCTGCTACCCCTTTTGTTAATAGTTTTTTCCTTCTATTTTCTTAACAAAAAGAAATTCGACAATTGTAACACAGCAGTAGCACTTTCGTTGATTTTTAGTAGTTTAGTTTGTTTAGTGGTGGTATGGCTCAAAGAAAAACGCACCTTACAACGGCCGACAATATTTCAATATTTATGATGTCTTGGGGGACACTTTTTTCGATTTTCAATTTTTTGGTTTTTTTGCACTTGTGACCACAATATGTGTGTGTGTTTGGGGGGTTGGGGCTGCTTAGAATTTCTATTCAATCGAATGACACTGTTGTTGTAGTATGCAGATATATGTCATAACAAAAGTGACTACTCCAAAAAATTAACAACAGCCGCAGCAGCAGTCATGAACTCAACTAATGGAGACAGACCAGCAGACGACAACGCTGGTGGTGGTGGCGATGGTGACGACGACTACGACGGCAACAGCAACGGACAGCAGCAAATCAGCAGTTATGGAACTTCAATGTCGTGCACTTCCACACACAATGAACATTGAGGAGAAAAAAATAAGACGTAGACGACGTCGTTGTTTTTTGGGTTTTCTTGCGAAGTATATTCGTTGATTTTCTTATAATTTGCACATTTTCTTTGTATTTGGAAACCACAAACGCGAATTTTCTTGAAATTTTCACGATTTTTTTGCAAATCTCTTAATAATATTTGGTTGGTTGGTCTTTTAACTCGCAGAAAAACGAAAATATCGACCGAGCTATAAAAAAAATATCGATTGACTCGCGTCTGTCATAATTGTCAAATTGGAACGTAACTACACTACGGTCCACTACCAACCAAACCAAACGACGACGACAAATGTCAAAGTTGGTTAATAACAAAAACACAAAACATATGAATGGTGACAAAAATCCTCCAAATTGGTCACAGATACCAACAATGGAAATAATTACAACTTAATTCGATCTAAAAATAACTCAGATTTCACAAAATACCAATGAAATTTGCAAATTAATTAAAAATTGTATCAACATTTTATTCGTACTTTCTAAAGCAACGCTGTTTTTGTGCCTGCCTTTTTGGTATATAAACGTTCGTTGGTAGGCTGGCTTCTGTCAAAAAGACGTAACGTAATTGAGAGACATTTGCTTTGATTGGATCTTCAAAAAACAGAACCACGAAAACAAATGTTTTTATTATAAATAATATAGCCAACACGCACTTGGCACTGTGGCACTTGCATTTTCCCTTCAAAATATTTTCCATAACACTGCACATTCTTAAAATATCTCATAGTAAATAGCCAGCACAAACCATAGCCAGTAGCAGCAAGCAAGCAACGGGCAACCAAAGTGCCCGTAGCCACAAGGTTTTCACATTATTTTACACATCCCATTGCTTCACAAATTGTTTAATAAACCAAAAATTTATCATATTTCAACATGCTTTAAGGTACAATTGTATTTTAACTCTTTACAATAATAATTTTCACCGAGTCCCCACCAATCCCAAATCGTGGAGCAAACCTTCCTGCAACTGGCCAGCAATTTCACAGAAACACCAAAACCACTCGTATAACACACAAATCCAATAAAATATTTTAAATTTCCATACACTTACCTCAATATTATTGTTTAATGCTGTATTATTGATGATAGTTTTCAAATATTCTCTATTTAATTGTTGTTTCTATAAAGTCAATGTGAAATTTAAAACAAAAAGCGACATTTGTTTCTTGCAACCTAGTGAAATTGAAAAACGTTCCACTTACTAAAGAATGAGGGAGAAGAAAAAATTACCGATAAAGAAGAACTCAAAATAGATTCAATAAATATTTACGAATGAGATGAGATGGAGACGGTTGCAGGCTAGTGTGTGGACATTTCTCTTAAGCGGGTATGTTCAGTGTAGGACAAATTACAGAGAATTGTCATTTGTAAGACATGGTTGCATAAAAAAGGATACATATGGTTTTTGCTATACATTGCATTTGTTGTTATTATTTTATTAATAATAAACATTTGAATTTCATAACTGATTAAAATGTTAATTAAACAAAAATAAAATATTAATATCAACAATAAAAGTTAGAAGATAAATTGTTTTATGGTACGAAAATCGCAACTTCAAAAGGGCGTGCGGCAAACATTTTGTGTTTTATTATTAGAAATCAGATATTCTAATTTGTTTAGAGCTAAACAATAAATATTTCCAAGAACAAAAGCTCTTTCGTTGAAAAATAAATATATGATAATAATTCTAATTCATATTTTAGCAATAAAAACATCATTTTCAACAGGTTGAAAATGTCCAAATATGCAGAAATTCGAGGTCTATTTTTTATGTAGTATGTTATATAGTTACATATTTCATTTATTTAGAAGAAATTTATATTACTCTATTAAAGAATTTAAATTTATAGCCGTATATTTAAATTGTATTCAAATTTGCTAAAAAATTATGGGGAGGCATGGCATAATTATTACAGGGTAGGGCACAGCTACCAACTGATTACAATTTTTTCTCAATGTGGCTTGTTCCATCAAATCAAAATACATATTTTGTGTATGTGTGTGTATTGTTTTGAATACTATGTCAAATAAATTGAAATATATTCAAATTTAATTGAAATGAAAATTATGTTTTTAACATGTTCGTCTGGAAGTAATTACAAACATTTGATGGTATTCCCTACTGGATTTTGGGAAGAAATCATAACCTTTTATTCATTTTCGCGTTTTTAGTTTTGTGTTAAAAAATGTCAAATAAACACAAACACTTCTGGCGTATATTTATTTTATTTTTGGCAGAAGAAGCCACACGTGCATAGTTGCTTTTTTGTTATTCGCCTCAAGCTGCCCTATCTTGTATTATTGTACCATGCATGGAAGGAGATATGGAGACCCATATCTCAGAAAGTATGGACATATTTGATATGAATATACAATTTTCGTAATCAGGGCTTCAAATGCTTTGAAATGATACCCACATTGCCTTAGTGAATTTTAAAAAATTATGAAAAAAATACAAGAGTTCCGACGGAATTTTGGAGGCCAATATCTCCGGAAATACCGATTTCCACAAGAAAAAATGTATACTGCTGTAATCAGGGACCCAAGGACTAAATGTGGTAAAAATTTCAAAACGATCCGGGAGGGGGCCTTAAACTAAACTTAAGCCGAATTTCTTGACACAATTTCGTTATTCCTCGATTATTCTAATATATATTAAAATTATTAGAAATATACTTACGATTGACACATAAGTTCCGTACCAGAACCTAAAAGAATCTATTAATTTTACAAGTTTTGCAACTTTTTACACGAAACCCGTTCCAGAACCCACAAAACTGGTAAAACATTGAATCGAATTTAAGAGAGCACAAAACAAAATGGAGAAATTTGGCCGAGTTAAAATGGTAAACAGGAATGCCAACTTCTGATTGGCTGTTATGATGATTTTGAAGTATGTCCATCTAATTTAGGCATATTTACTAGATTTTCGTTCCCGAACTTTTCAAATTATTTTGTACTCTGAGAGCGATTTTGAAATGTTTCACTTTTACTATCTTTACAGGTAAAAAAGTACTGGAACATACCAATATTGTTATGCTTACCGCCACTACTACCCACTGAACATACCACACAGCCGGCGCTAACATTTCTTGGTGAATGTTTTCAACTTGTTCTTTTGTATGACATTCTATTTTTATTATTTTTGCTGCTCAGAGGCGATTTATTTTTTAATGCAAACAATGCCGACAATATGCAGTGGTTAATTAGCAACAACAACAAAAACAATAATAATTCTTTAATAAATTGCAATTGGCGAAGTTTTATTCTAGTTATCCTATTGGTAGTGAGCATTTTTAGTAATTCCAATTATGTATACGCTTTGAAGCACTATACCAAAGAACGTAAATTAGAATTACGGTAAGTTTTGATGCTGGCGCTTGGAAGCCCTTGACGTGGTCCTAATTAATGTTTATATGTTTGCAGTGAACAAGTACGTGGTATGTTCCAACATGCCTATGAGGGATATTTAAAATATGCCTCTGATTATGATGAACTCAGGCCGTTGACATGTGATGGCGTAGATACCTGGGGTAGTTATTCGTTGACCATGATTGATTCATTGGATACCCTGGCTACAATGGGAAATTTTACGGAATTTCGTAGAATAGCAAAGCTATTGGAGGAGAAAATGGATTTTGATCGGGATATTAATGTATCGGTTTTTGAAACCAATATACGGATAGTTGGAGGTTTGTTATCGGCTCATTTGCTGTCCAAAAAGGCCGGGGTGGAGTTGGAAGAAGGTTGGCCATGTCAGGTAGTTGGTTAAAAATTAAATAAATTGAACTGCATTAGTTAATTGTATTTATATTTGTTGTAGGGTCCCCTGTTGCGCATGGCTGAGGATGTGGCAAAACGTTTGCTGCCGGCATTTGAAACCGCCACCGGTATGCCTTATGGTACGGTGAATTTACGATATGGTGTGCCTAAAGGTGAAACATCTATAACATGTACAGCGGGAGTGGGTACATTACTGGTGGAGTTCGGTACCTTATCCCGTTTGACGGGAGACAGTATATACGAAGAGGTGGCCTTGAATGCGTTACATTCGCTGTGGAGACGAAGATCCAACATTGGTCTGTTTGGCAATCACATTGATGTACAAAGTGGCCGTTGGACAGCTTTAGATTCAGGAATCGGTGCTGGCGTCGATTCACTTTTTGAATATATGGTCAAGGGGGCAATACTATTGCAACGGCCAGAGTTACTGGACATGTTTCATTCAGCCCGCCAGGCAATTGATAAATATTTACGCCATGAAGATTGGTATGTGTGGGCCAATATGAATAAGGGTCAAGTCACATTGCCGGTTTTTCAATCTTTGGAATCATTTTGGCCGGGCATTTTGAGTATGGTTGGAGACAGATCTCCGGCTATTAAGACAATGGCTAATTATGCAAGTGTTTGGAGGAAGTATGGTTTTTTGCCGGAATTTTATACCATTACAACGGGGGAGGCGGCAGCGAACAGAGAAAGTTATCCGTTACGGCCGGAACTAGTCGAATCAGCAATGTATTTATATAGAGCTACGAAGAATGAATTCTTGTTGGAGTTGGGTGAAAGTATGCTGCAAACTATTGAACATAGTGCCAAGACCAGATGTGGTTATGCGACGGTAAGTAAAACAAATTAAACCACAAAATCTGGAAGAAGGGTGTAAAACGAACAGGCGTGCTTTCGACACTGCTATTTGCGATATGAGAATGAAGAACAAGGGTATAAATCGTTGATAAGCAGCACATGGAAGGAATTTATATTATACGCAGAGGAAGAATATTCCAACATGACATAATAACTTTGTCATGAACTTTAAAAGCTTCAATAGAGCCATCTTCTACTTTAAGTCCCACTTTAATAATCAGTTAAAATAATCTCTTTCCCGGAAGTTTTTGAAAAATTTTAATGTTGTTACATTACCTCTGTAAATATATTAACGTCTACGTCTTTTTTTATAGATTCGCAATGTTGTCACCCACGAAAAAGAGAATCGCATGGAATCCTTCTTCCTGTCGGAAACCACCAAATATTTGTACCTACTTTTCGATGAGGACAATTTTCTACATAACGATGCTGGCAGGGGAGATATTATCGACTTGGGATCCCGCAATGGTGGCGGGCAATGTGTTATTAACACCGGACCATACATTTTCAATACCGAAGCCCATCCCATTGATATGTCTGCTCTGCATTGTTGTTATGATCACAAACAGGATATGTTCGATGGCTTGGATTTACAAAATTTCAGTGACTCGACATTGGCGAAATTTGATTATGAAACAAATATCAAAGATAAAGTGGAAAGCAATTCGCACTGTTCTCGTCCGGCGAGTCGAGAACGTATAAGACCACCAGTTAGGCCAAGTAGCAAATCCGACAAACAAAACAAACCACAACAACCACCAGAACCCAGTATGGCTGTGGATATTGAGGTTTTCGATGAAAATAATAAACCTGCCGGGGATATTCTGGTGGAATCATTTGAACGTGTTAAACATGAACAATTTAGCAATGCCAGAAACCCATCACCACCTACAACAACAACGCAAACCTCACCACGTAATCAATTAACGGTTTCCGATTTACAAGATTTCTTCGCAAAGAGACGTGAACATTTTAAAAATCCCCAAGCCATCCTCGATTATACGGTGAAATTTCTAAAAAACTTCACCTTGGAACCATCATTTATTGTAAGCTTAAAGATTTTTGATAAAACTGTTAGTGAATATTTGGGCACGGCCACACAAAAGGAGTACGGCAGTACCACAAAAACCCTATGGGACCTCTATGAATTGAAACAAAAATATCAAATGAATATGAAACTATTGATGGCATTTAATCTGCACATTCTCGATGATTTTGATAGTAAAATGGTGGAGAGGGTCCTCAGCGTTCTCAGTGGCGATCAAAGTGATGGTAACAACAATGTTATATGGAATAAAATGACTGAACTTTATATTGAATATTCCAAGTCCCTAACAAATACCACCGAAATGCAAAATTTCCTATTGCGAATCCTCGTCAATGGTTCCGATGAAAAACAAAATAATTTGAAACCTCTACTCAGCGATGAAGAAATCACAAAACTATCCAGTGAAAATGTTGATGTATCTCAACATCTGAAGGAATTCTCGTATGCCAAAAAGATTGTGGAAGCTGAGAAACGTATTACGGACACCTTTGAACAATTACAAAAGCTAATGAGCGATATAAATAATAAACAGAAAGGAGGAGGAGGAGACAATAAAAAATTGACAAAGTCCTCGGACACCAATAACACAAATTCTAATAACACCGCTAAAAGTCCATCTACAACCAATACAACTTCCACGTCCACCAATAACAGTGGTGCGCAACTTATACATTCCCCCACCACCACCAAAGAAAATGAAAATAATTCCATCTCTGTATGGACCCATTTGGTTGATACATTTTTGGGCAAAAGTTCTTCGCAAAAATTCAAATTTGATGCCATGGATCTTTTACAAAAAACTCGCAAATCTCTGGAACAATATCAAACAGTGGATATTAATTATAATCTACTGACATGTTCACGTCCCAAATTTATTGAACAATTTGCCTATCGTTACTATCATCCGTAATCGTACTACACTGACTGCTTGACATTGTATTTTCTAAAATGAAATATGTATTTATTTTTTATATGTACATCAAAGACTGTTTGTTAATCTAACTACTGTTAAAATGATGAACGAGTGTGTGCGTGTGCAACAAGTGGCCAAGAGAATTGAAAATAAAAAAAAAATTGTAAATAATTAAAACCACAAAAAAAGTAATGGAAAAAGAACAATCGCAAAATAACAATCATCATTCCACCAAAAAAATATTGTGTTGTGTACGTTACGTTGACCATACCGTGATTGAGTGATTTGAATAATGTAAAAAAAATAAATAATTGATATTAATACAATTGTTTTATTCCTAATAAACCTATCCATTATATAAGGAGAGTTGTATACCCTCTATATTTATATTAATAAAAGAGTAAAGTGATTTACTGACTTAACGATTCATCAACGCCCAGGCGAAACGACCGAAGCTAGAATCTTGAAATTTGGACGAGGGTCACTCTTAGTTCAAAAGTATCAGATAAGGCTGGTTTTTTGAAATTCGTACAGGAACGGAACGAAAAACACTAAAAAGTACTAAATATGTTACCATTTGTATTTGGCGAACCGGTAGAGGTAGAACTCTTCAATTAGGTGTGAGTGTCACTGATGGAGTGTACGATAATTCGAACTAAAAGTATCCGAAAAGTATGAACGGATGCAGCTAAAAACTAGAAATTTGGGATGCAAATTAAGGATATAAGAAAACGTACTCATATACACAAAAGTGCTAAACTGTACTAAGTTCGGTACATTTTCAATATGGAGGAACGGATGGAGCTGGAATTCTGAAATTTGAAAATAACTTAACGTCGTAGCATTGGAATATGTGTGTAGATTTTGAAATTTGTATTTTTGTGCACGAAAAGTACCAGAATGGTACTATATTTGGTACATTTTTGGATTTAAGTGAAGAGATAGAGTTGGAATCCTAAAATTTTGAAGTTTTAGAATTGAGGTATGTGGGTATTTTTGGATATTCGTACTTATGTGTACTAAATTTGTCACAATTTAGATTTGGGTGAACCGATAGAGTTGGAATCCAGAATTCACTTTTTGAATATCAAGGTCAAGGGGGCAATATTGTTGCAAAGGCCAGAGACACTGGACATGTTTCATTCAGCCCACCAGGCAATTGATAAATATTTACGCCATGAAGATTGATATGTGTGGGCCAATATGAATAAGGGCCAAGTCACATTGTCGGTGTTTCAATCTTTGGAAGCATACATTTGCGTTCATTTCGTTTCTTTTTTTGTTTTGGGTGAACCTATAGAGCTGAAATCTGGAAAATGTAGATTTGAGGTATGTGGGTATTTTTGGAAATACGTACTTATGTGTAATAAATTTGGTACATTTTGTATTTGGATGACCCCGATAGAGTTGGAGACCTGAAGTTTGGAATTAAGATTACTGTTGGAGTGAAGGATTGGAAGTTATAGAATGTTGGATACTTATGTGTACTAATGGTACTAAATTAGGTACCACTTGAATTAAGGTGATGGGATAGAGTGGAATTTAGATTACAGTCGGAGTGTAGGATTAAGTTAATTTTGTACTTATAGGTAATAAATTTGAACTATGATACAATTTGTTTCTGTACAATTTGTTTTTGGGTAAACTGATGGGGCTGTCATTCTGGAATGTGGGATTCAAATTATCGTTTGAATGTAGGATTGACAAATGGAGGTAATTTTTATAATTCGTAATAATGTCTAACAAATGGTACTAAATTTAGTGAAATTAGAAGTACGGTTTGTTGGGGAAAAATAAATAAATTATTTTTATACGAAGTAACATGCTTCGGAATGTCCGATTTGGGCCAAATATGCACCGTTTTGTTGTATGAGTTGTTGCCATTTTAAAGGTAACTTCATAATGGCTCTCTCATAGAAGTCCTGTTTCAACAATTTTTACTGCGAAATGTCCAAATATCGAACCTTACAAGAAATATATCAGTAAGGTCATCTGCCGAAAAAATTGATATCCTTTTTCCCAACCTAATATATGGACGTAGTATTGAAAATGTGTACTTATGTGTTCGAAAAGTGCTGAATTCCTGGAATTCGGAATTATAGTACCAAATAATTTACAATATTCACGATTTCCATATAAAATATTATTTTTTTTTTGCATTACCATTCCGCATACGAAGTAGCGGGCACTACGGTAATAATAATAGTGTGATAAAATTATGAAATTCCGAATTACTACTTTCGTTACATCCTTATGTCCATCGAAGCCTATGTAAATAAATAAGTTTCCAAAAAGTTTGTGATAAGAGAAAAGCGCAATTTAAAAAAAACTTTGGTGTGTTGAAAATAAGTTGTTGTGGTTCATTACCTTCCCCACCAAAAATAAAAGCAACAACTATCATAAAACAAATAGTTTGTAATTTGTTGATGTTGTTGTTGTCATTTAGGGAAGTAGGTCCTTTGGCAAATCTCAACCGGTATGTACAAGAATGTCAGTTGTTTTGTTGTCACGGACTGAAAGTGCGTGTTTTACATGAATTTTTCTTGTCGAACCCCAAAAAACAACTCTTTCACCACAGTCTTAAAATGTTGATATTGGAGGAAATTGGGATGACGATTTAGAAATTACGAACATTTGTTATTCATGTTTTATTTTTAAATTCATGTTTTAATTAAAAAAAATTGAGTAAATATTTTGTTTTTTAATTTCTTTCATAAATTTTTGGATTTTTTATATAAAAAATCCTTTAAAATTACTTCGCCCCGTTTGACATCCCTAGCGGTATGGAAGTAATTTTGTGGTAGGTTCTGATGTAAGTTAGGTAGGTATGAGTTAAATATAAAGTTATGACAATAATAATCATGATTGTAGGCATGAACATAAAATTAAATCAATGATAAACATAATAACCAAATCTATGTACATACATAAAAATTCAGAGTAGTAAACTTGTCGACTAGTTCTCCGTTTATTTGTTTTACTTCGGGGGTTTTGATTATTACAACATTTTGTGGTTTCCAGTTGTTGATTAACGTTACACATAAATGGTAGGAATTGCGGTTGTGGGAACAACAACTCTAAAATGTCTTCAAATTCAAGTCCAAAAACTGGAAAATCAAGTACAAAACAAAGTAATGAAGCGAAGGAGGAGATCATTGTGCCGTGTGGTATAAAGGAACCTCGTCCCATGCCATATTTATTTGAGAAGGAGCTGATAAATCGGGCCAATAAACATATTTACGTTGTGGATGATTTTGTTCCATCGAGGAAGAGTGAGTATGGTTTATAATTTGTATTTTATAATTTGTATTTTAAGGTAAGGTCCTTAAAAAATATTTTTAATAAATCCACGCCTTGTAAAGTAAAGTCCTTAAAAAAGATTTTTAAGAAATCAACGCCTTGTAAGGTAAGGTCCTTGAAAAAATATTTTTTATAAATCAACACCTTGTAAGGTCCTTGAAAAAATATTTTTAATAAATCAACGCCATGTAAGGTAAGGACCTTGAAAAAATATTTTTTATAAATCAACACCTTGTAAGGTAATTGAAAAAATATTTTTAATATATCCGCGCCTTGCAAGGTAAGGTCATTAAAAAATATTTTTTTAAAAAATCCACGTCTTGTAAGGTAAGGTCCTTGAAAAAATATTTTTTTTAAAAATCCACGTCTTGTAAGGTAAGGTCCTTGAAAAAATATTGTGACGGAACTTTCGTTCCATAAACAGAGCTTAAAAAAGATTTCCAGGCGCGTCGGTCTTTTGGTCAGTTTTTCCAGTTTAAAAGATGATATTCGACAATATTGTCTGCCACTTGATCTTTCCGTCTTATTCGTGGTTTTCCCCTTCTGCGTGAACCATCAGATGGTTCGCTTTTATATGCCTTTTGGGTTGGGGCATCTTCATCCATTTTCACAACATGACCTAGCCAACGTAGTCGTTGCAGCTGGATGCGTCTGACAATGCCGATGTCCGAGAATAGCTGGTATAGCTCATGGTTCATTTGACGACGATATTCATCGTCAACGCAGATCGGCTCATAGATCTTTCGGAGAATTTTTCTCTCAAACACTCCAAGAGCTGCCTCATCTGCTTGCGTAAATACCCATGCTTCAGATATGCTGTTTGGTGTACAGAGTGCCATTTCTATTCACCTTTGCCTTTCGTATGCCCTTTTCAGCAGGATGTTAAAAAGGTCACACTACAAACTGTCACCTTTTTTTTTTTTTTTTTTTTTTTAATTTTTATTTATTCACAATAATTTCAAAGTCCGCAGACCACATTTAAGAAATTACCAGTCTACAAATCTCATAATTACACTTATAATAAACAATAACGCGAAAATCCTCGACTATAAAATAAAACAAGAAAATCTTAACAATCACGATAACAATTGCGGGCCAAGAATAATACATGTACATTTCACTAACTTGACAAGCAATACTAGTAAAAGTAGTGATTATTCACAGAAACCCAAACAAAAATTTTGACTGCAACTAAGATTCTACTCGAAGATCGAGCGGAAATAGCTTAATATATAAAAAATAATAAAAAAGTTACTCTATAATGTTATCGTGGTTATTAAAACAGTATTAAAAAAAATACAAAAATTGAGGCACTTATCATTACAATAAAATTAATTAACAATAATTTATACAACTGTTATCACAAGAAGGATGGGATCAACTCAAGTATCTGTAATAATAAAATTCATTTTACAATATTAATTAAAAGATAGAAAAAATATAAACATAAATATAATTAAACAGGATTGGGTCTACTCAAATAAATGATACAGGGAGTATTATTAATTATGGTATAAATAAACAGAGGATATCTTACAAAATGTAATTATATAGGATGGGGTCTACTCAATTATATAGGATGGGGTCTACTCAATAATGTCCTTTTCTGAATCCTCGTTCGGTATTAAAGGGTTCCGACAAGTCCTTTCCGACTTTAACTGCTGATCTTGTGCCAGTTAATTTTAACCTGCATAGCCGAATTAATTTTGCAGGAATGCCAAACACAGACATGGCTTTAAACACATCTGAACCGATAGGGTTGTCGAATGCGGCTATATTGTCGACGAATAGGTGGAATGTGTCGATGTGGTTTTCTTTTTTTTTTAGGATTTGGCGCAGCGTGAAAATCTGGTCAATGGTGGATTTCCCAGGTCTGAAGTCGCATTGGTATGGTCCAATAATGTCATTGACCATTGCCTTTAGTCGTTGACACAGCGCGCTGGATAGCACATTATATGCGATGGAAAGGAGACTTATTCCTCTATAGTTGACACATATAGTCTTGTCTCCTTTTTTGTGTACGGGACACAGGATGCTGATATTCAAATCATTGGGCATACATTCCTCTAGCCAAATTGTACTAATCAGCTGGTACATGCTCCTTATCAGCATCTGACCACCAGTCATGAATAATTCGGCTTGTAACCCATCGGCACCTGCTTTATTATTCTTCAGCCGATTGTTTGCTCTTCTGACCTCATCTTGGCTAGGTGGTATACACTCTATACCGTCATCTATTATTGGTTCTGGGGTATCCTCTTCACCGCTACTATTTGATACCAGAAGTTCCAAAATGCTCCTTCCAGATCCTCAGCACGCTATCTGTATCTGTCACCAGGTTTCCTTCTTCATCTCTACAGGAGGATGTGCCTGCACCAAAGCCTTTGGTTTGGTGTTTTACTCGTTGGTAAAATTTTCGGACTTCATTCTGACTCCTGCACATCTCGATTTGCTCACGCTCACGTTTTCCTTGTTCTTTCTTCTTTTTTCTGAAAATAAGTTTCTCCTCTCTCATTTTCTCCCGATAATTCTCCATCGCATTACACAACAAAGCCGATATTATTGCCTTACAGGAAATGCGATGGAAAGGGACTGGCGTAAGTAAATCGGATGATCACGCCCTGTATTATGGCTGCCATTAAACGAGACGTGAATTTGGCTGCGGATTTATGGTTAATAGGAGAATAAAAGACCTCGTATCCAGATTCACTCCAGTAGACGAGCGAATTGCTATAACCCAAATAAATATAATATTTTGGTCCCACCGTCGGAAAATTCAGCCAACGGCAAGAGGTTGATTGACTTCGCGGCATCGAAAAACCAGATTTAAGCATCTCGATATACACAAGCCCACCTGGATTGCTTCTGATCAAACAACGTGAAATGAAATTGACCATGTTGAAATAGACAGTAGGCATTCGTCTAGTGTTTTAGACGTTCGATCGATACGAGGAGCGAATATCGATTCGGACCATTACCTTGTGGCAGCCATGGTTGGCCTCCGTCTTAATGTAGCAGCAAAGGTGCGGTCTAATGTGACACGGAAACTCGACGTCGAACAGCTAGACACCTGCTTGACGAAAGCACTTCTTTTCCCTATATTAGGTACGACCATGGTACGATCAGCAGTGTCGTAATTCTACTGATGTGAAAAACGCAGCGCATAGGGCAACCCTGCAGACAGAAGCAATACGTAACAACTGCGCCTATTCTGCACAACATGCGCACATTCCATGTGCAGATTCGCAGATCGTGGTCATTTGTACGTTTGCGAGGTCGTCATCATTTCTTTTTCTTTGATTTTTCATAGTAGGTTGGGTTTTCCGAGAGTGGGCAACTAACCCGACGCTTCAACCAATTTGTTATAGTTCTAATGGGTGTAATCGCGGCACATATCAGCTCACTATTTCAATGGATGATGAAAATAGTTTCCCCAGCTGACAACGCGGTGAGGTCCGTGTCCACAATTGAGATGAAAGAGGGACCAGGATAAGCCTGGGCTTCGCCATGTTAAAGCCAATAAGAGCCGTTGCTTGTCCTTGAAAAAATATTGTTAAAAAAATTACTCTTAGAAAGGTGGGATCCTTGAAAAAATATTGTTTTAAAAGACACGCTTGTAGAGGTCCATAATAATAATAAACAATACGATGTTCTTTGTATATAAGATTATCATAAGGACCTGTCAAAAGAGTAATTTTATGCTTAATGTTCTCTCCCCCCATCTCTTTTCCCTTTTTCACAGTTCATCACATAACAGCCAAATTCTATGCTAATCATGAACAAAAAGAGCCCTCGAATGAACGAGAATATCGTAATTTCATAGATCGACCCTGTCCGGAAAGACATCAAACAGAAAACAGTGTTTATGGATGGATGCCCAGTAGCCTGCAGGACACAAAATTACTTAAAGAATTGAATTTTATTAACGCGCCCAAACAACGGTGTTGCCTTACCATTTACGGAGAGATACTGCAAAGCGATAAGGTGACCGAGAGACCTGGCTTTAATGGTCTTCGATTTCATTTACAATAAAGAAAACAACAACAACTACCAATTTTTATGTTTCGCATTCAATTTATTCGTATAAAAAAGCTATAACTATAATTAACTTATATAACTAAGATATTTTTTTTATAAATAATCTGTTTTTTTCTTATTTATCTAAATTGTAATTATTTAAACTATATTCCGATGGTTCACGATATAATTTATTTCGGGGACCAAAGAAACTTAATAGCACAGGTAACAATATTAAGCCATGTGCTGCTCCGATAAGAACAATACCCAAATACATGCGGAAATAGAAGACTTCGAAAACTTGTGAGTTTGAGAAACCCAAAACAATAATACCGGCGAATTTGGTTAATGTAATACCGGACAGGACACTACTACCAGTCACCGAAAGGGAGTGACGTGCCCGTTCCTGTTTCGTACCAGTGGCATTTTTATATGACCTAATTACGTGCGACACAAATTCTACACCAATACCCACGGATACCACAAGATTAACCAACGAAATGGCATTTAAGGTTATGTTCCAGGCCCACATCATACCGCACATATTTATCAAAATCAGCACGACCATAAACAATACCATTCCGGCGGATATAATATCAAAGCCCGTTATAAGGAAGGTAACCAAGAATATGGCCAACAAGGAAATACCCAGCGAGAAGATCGCATCATCCCATATTGTCAGATATTGTTCGTAGAATATGAAGAATACACAATAGGGGAATACGGAGGCATCCACATTGTTGTCCTTGAACATAGCATTAATCTCATCCGTCACACGTCTGGCTTCACGCAGCGCCGAATAGAATTGCACCGAAGTTGTAGAGGTGGTGGAATACTGCATGAAATAGGTATCCAATATTGTACTGCTGCCTTCATTATCGAGAGTATAAACCACGGCCTGTCGGGGAGAGCAAATAATAAAGAGGTTATTATAAGGAAGGAAAATCTATTTGCTACATTTGAGGCTACTTACATCCGCATATGAAGCTCTACCAGCCTTGGCACATTCAGCATCTGGCAAATCGGATAAGAAGTAAGGTAAATATTTGTTAAAGGTTTCATCTGTGGGTCTCAGACCATCATCCATAAATGTTCGTGGACAGGGTATACATTCGTATTCTTTGGAATCTATAAAGAAAAAGAAGAAGAAAATAATGGTATTAGAAAATATTAAAATCAAGGGGAAAGTTGGACTGGCTGAATTAGGTTTTCTATAGGAAAACTTCAATTCAGCCTGGCTGAATTAGTTTTTCTATAGGAAAACTTCAATTCAGCCTGGCTGAATTAGTTTTTCTATAGGAAAACTTCAATTCAGCCTGGCTGAATTAGGTTTTCTATAGGAAAACTTCAATTCAGCCTGGCTGAATTAGGTTTTCTATAGGAAAACTTCAATTCAGCCTGGCTGAATTAGGTTTTCTATAGGAAAACTTCAATTCAGCCTGGCTGAATTAGGATTTCTACAGGAAAACTTCAATTCAGCCTGGCTGGATTAGGTTTTCTATAGAAAAACTTCAATTCAGCCTGGCTGAATTAGGTTTTCTATAGGAAAACTTCAATTCAGCCTGGTTGAATTAGGTTTTCTATAGGAAAACTTCAATTCAGCCTGGCTGAATTAGGTTTTCTATAGGAAAACTTCAATTCAGCCTGGCTGAATTAGGTTTTCTATAGGAAAACTTCAATTCAGCCTGGCTGAATTAGGTTTTCTATAGGAAAACTTCAATTCAGCCTGGCTGAATTAGGTTTTCTATAGGAAAACTTCAATTCAGCCTGGCTGAATTAGGTTTTCTATAGGAAAACTTCAATTCAGCCTGGCTGAATTAGGTTTTCTATAGGAAAACTTCAATTCAGCCTGGCTGAATTAGGTTTTCTATAGGAAAACTTCAATTCAGCCTGGCTGAATTAGGTTTTCTATGGGAAAACTTCAATTCAGCCTGGCTGAATTAGGTTTTCTATAGGAAAAATTCAATTCAGCCTGGCTGAATTCAATTCAGCATTGCTGAATTAGGTATTCTTTAGAAAAACTTCGATACAACCTGGCTGAATTAGGTTTTCTTTAGAAAAAACTTCAATTCAGCCTGGCTGAATTAGATTTTCTTTAGAAAAACTTCAACTCAGCCTGGCTGAATTAGGTTTTTTTTACGGAAACGTCAATTCAGCCTGGCTGAATTAGGGTTTCTTTAGGAAAAGATCAGCTCTGTCATTGTTTATAGTTCCTCTATATAGGTAGAAGAGGCGTAATCGCCCTCATATATATACAACATATCATATTTATCATCATACTTACTACTTGGACAGAACCTATTATCGGTGGTGTTCACTTTACAACAATCTCCAATGCGCAACCAATCAATATAATCATCAATCCATGATGTGGCGGGACGGGCCAAATATGTTCTGAAAAAAATATAAATAATACATTTTAATTCAAATTATTCGTCACGCGAGAGATAGAGATATGAGAACTATGCAGCGGAATACGTTGAAATGTAAGATAACGTTCCATGAGGTATGTATACAAGGCATCTCCAACATGATGGATATTTGAAAACCTATAATAACTTCTTAAAGCTTGGAGTTGCATAGAACTATTCTCCATGGAAATTAAACACAGGAATTTGAGCATCCAATACTTACATATCAGGATAACGAGATTGAGTATATAACTGCACCGACAGCGAATTATTATTACACTCCACACCACCACATATCAGATTCTGATGATCACGATCGGTATAGTTTAGTCCGGGTTTAAGAACCCAGTACACAGGAGCACCCATTGCCAATAAATCATCCATATAACGGAAATACTTGACAACGTGAGACTCCTTGGGCATAGACATTTCCTGATCCAGACCCAATTCCAAATTAGGTGTGACCAGCAATGATAGGGTTGTGACCACAAAGAACACAATGCAGACAATTATTTTTACGGGTCTGAAAAAAAGATTTTAAATTAAAAATCCTCTTCTTCCGGAAAAAATATCCCACTCACTTGGTCAACAGGAAAGGAGCATAGATATGTGTAAACAACTTTTGCATTACACCCACACCTTCATGATTTCGATGTTCCAAAGATTGTTTTGATGGTTTACAGCAGCAAAACAGATCCATGCGACCCGATTCATAACGTCTTTCGTCCAAAGCCATCATCGACACAAATGCCGTAATTTGGAAGAGGAAATTAAAGAAAATCGCAGCGGCAGCATACATGGCAAAAGTCTTTACCGCAGGCATATCGGATATGGCACCAATAGCAAAACAGGCGAATTCCGAACCAGCTGTTTGCAATATCGATGGTCCCACCTGACCCATAGCTTCACCAATGCCCTCAGCTACACTATCAAATTTGTTGCGATCCAAACGTTGATAGGTATGGACCATTATGAAGATGTTGTCCACACCAACAGCCAATACCAAGAACGGAATAACTTCGATGGCCAACATTGTCGTGACCACATCCAAATAACCCCAGAATCCCAGACTGCAAGCCACCGATGCCAATACGATAATAATGCCCCCAACGGCCAGGACAATTTTCGATTCACGGAAGAAATGTACACAGCTGCGGATTTTACCCAAAGCAATGGCCACATAGACAAACATCACCAAATAACTGATCACAACTGTGGACACTTCACCTTCGGATAATTCAACAATGGCATCTTGAATGGAACGTTCGGCAGAATAGGCAATATCAAGCTTGTCGTTGCTATAGTTTTTCATAAAGTCCACAAAACGTTTTTCCCATTCCAGATTCGGTGCCAGCAGATCTTCATTGTTTTGATTTTTACCCAGGAAAGTTAAGACCAAACCGGTGGCCAGCAAATAGTTAGGCTCCTCATTGCCACTTACTTTGGGCATACCACCCACGGAAATGCCGGGTTCAATGGGACCACCATAGGGTCCGAAGCAGGCCTCCAACATGGGAACGCTGGAAAAATAAACAAAAATTGGTTAATTATAGTAAAGCTGAATAAGATAACGAATAGGGAATTTTTAATTCGGTCTGTCTGGTTTTCATTAGGAAACCTTCAATTCAGCCTGGCTGAATAAGGTTTTCATTAGGAAAGTGCAATTCAGCCTGGCTTTATAAGGTTTTCATTAGGAAACCTTCAATTCAGCCTGGCTGAATAAGGTTTTCAATAGGAAACCTTCAATTCAGCCTGGCTGAATAAGGTTTTCACTAGGAAACCTTAAATTCAGCCTGGCTGAATAAGGTTTTCACTAGGAAACCTTCAATTCAGCCTGGCTGAATAAGGTTTTCACTAGGAAACCTTCAATTCAGCCTGGCTGAATAAGGTTTTCACTAGGAAACCTTCAATTCAGCCTGACTGAATAAGGTTTTCACTAGGAAACCTTCAATTGAGTCTGGCTGAATAAGGTTTTCATTAGGAAAACTTCAATTCAGCTTGGCTGAACACGGTTTTCATTAGGAAAACTTCAATTCAGCCTGGCTGAACAGGGGTTTCATTAGGAAAACTTCAATTCAGCCCGGCTGAACAAGGTTTTCATTAGGAAAACTTTTATTCGGCCTGGTTGAATTAGTTTTTCATTAGGAAAACTTTTATTTGACCTGGCTGAATTCGTTTTTCATTAGGAAAACTTCAATTCAACCTGGCTGAATAAGGTTTCCGCTGGAAAAATTGATATTCTTCCTTCCTTTCCTTCAAGCAAACTTGTATTCAACCAGACTGAATCCGATTTTCGATAGTAAAACTTGACTTAATCGTTCAATACTTACTTCAAACAGTCTTCCAAATGATTCAAATAGTTTATGATATAACCATTTTCATCTTCATATTCCGTTTCGAAAAATTCCAAATCATTTTGAAAGAAACCAAAAATGGATTGGACAACACATTTATCGACAGTGGGCTTTTCGCCAGGATACATTACAGGAGCGTAACAAACTTTATCGAGACCTACACCATCTTCCTTGCCAATTGCTTGAATGGCTTCCTGCAACTTAAATACTTCCAAGAGGAAACTTTTTTCATAGGCAGGACCAAATTCTACAACACCGGCCGATGTAGCATGGGTAAACTGGTGAGAGAGAGAATAAATTTTAAAATCCGCTTCATAACTCTCTTACAAACTAGTAACCTACCCCTGATGCATTTATGGGCTTAATAAAAACTTGATTGGTCCGATAGAAGGGGCCAAAATGAGAATCGAAATATTCCTTTTCAATACGGGTTCTACTTTCTTTGCCGGCCCACAACTCAACGGGATCCGTGGTAACCTGCATGTAGACAATACCATAGCAAATACCAGCTATGACCCATGACAAAATGGCCAAAACCAAAACTGGATACTTGGCGCAGACTGTACCACCAAACCGAAAGACTTTGTAGAGGACATCATTGAAACAGCCAAATCCGGAGAAACATCCTGGAATATTACATTTCGATCGGAAGCGTTCAAATACCCACAACGCCACAATGAAGACCACAAAACCAGCGGCAATACATAAACCGAGAAACACGAAGGCATCCTCATGAGCCACTGGTACATCGGTAATGGCACACGATTCCGGACAATCAATACAGGCACATGCATAAGAATCACCATAGGCCTCGGAACACGGTAATGTATTCATCTTTAAGCGTTCCCCCTCCTCCTCTGACTCATCAGTCATGAAGATGTAATTAATGGGAAATGGTACGTACTCGTTGTCAGCATCTCCCATAAACCGATACCATTTCTGATGATCACAGGTACGGGCATTATAGGCACCACAACCTAGATCCATGGCTGGACGACCCGTTTGAGAATGTTGTATAGCCTTGCAACTGTTGTAAATTGATTGGACAAATTCATCATCGATTCGGTAATCGATTTGTTCAACATATTTCACACCGTCGTTGTTGGTATTGTGATAGGGCGTCAGGAAGAGGCTGTGATTTTGGGCACAGGTCATTGAGCAAATACTGAGACCCATGTTTAGGACACATGTGGGGCATCGAGAATAAATACCATCAGCTTGTGACATACCCTGATCCATCGTTTCGATTTGGCTACCATCACAGCATAAATTTAGGGGAGCTAACAAAAACAAACGCGAAGTCAGAGATTGAGAGATGCGAAGGTTTTTTAATGCTTACCATCCGGATCATTGCCCTTATATTCATTGTATAGCACCGGACAACGTCTTTTAAATATCGCTTCAGCATCTGGATTATTTAAGGGTAATGCTTCACCGTCATATGCCTTATTTTTCCAATGTTGCCCCTCCATGTGACTGCGGCCATACCAAATACAGGTGGCATTGCTGTGCGGTAGGTTTTGTAACAGGAGTGAGAGACAGCTTAACGTTAATATCACAGCTAAACTTTTCGTTGTTGCTGAAATCGAAAAAATACAGATTAGATACAATTTAGTAATACAAAAAATTTGATCAAAAATTGAGAGAGAGTGAGCAATGATGTTTCTCTTATTGTCGAATTTTCTAAATTTATTCTTTCATATTATCGTGATTGACATTAATGAAACAAATCTTCGCAACTGCAAAAAAATTCGATTTCTTTCACTTTCGAAATTCGTAAGTGAGCAAATTGTCTAAGTGAAAAATTATAATCGAAATTTAAATATGGCAACACATATTAACACAATTTTCGGTATGGCAATAATAGACGAAAATTTGAAACTACATCACACTTTTATTTTGCCTCTCCCTCTCCGAGGCGAGAAAGTTAGAAGAAGAAATTTCTCACTAGTGAGATTTCTTCCCCCATGCGGAAAAGTGTTAAGTTTTCGTGTTTAGTAAGCCAGAGACCAGAATAAATAGAGTACCCTGGGAGGTCGGATAAATCGTACCCCTTTTTTACTGTGATCCAGCGATATAGCCAGAAATTTATGTTTGTAACAGCGGATTTTTTCATTTCGTACTACCGGTTTTTCGATTCAAAATGTATCAATATGGCGTGTTTTTTCCAATAAATTCTCCACCAATTTTAACTGTTAAAAAGTTGCCTATTCAGAAAAAAATACAAAACAAATTGTTTGAAAAACTCCTATCGAGATAATCTTAAAAAAATCAATGCATAGTGACATCACAATTTATGTGGACATAGTTATCGCCTTTTATTGGTGTGTATTATCGCATATGAGTGGTGTGCCAATATGGGTTGATTAAATGTGTGTATATAGGAAAAAACGTATTCACAAATTATGGATCTGTCTGTATCACAACAATACAATGTTGAATTGGTAGACCTAATATATATTAATCTACGATTGTACAACAGGCTGCAAATTTCAAACATATAATATATGTTCCAAAAAAAGGGGTTTCCATTGCTACAGTCATTGCATTATTTACCTTAAATCGGACGAAATTATATATATGGGAGCTATATCTAAATCTGAACCGATTTTCATGAAACTTAATACACATCATTTTAGACTTATTTCAGTACGCTATGCCAAATTTCGTGCATATCGAAAGAATTATAGGGTCTTTGGTGCACCATTTACCTTAAATCGGACGAAATTATTTATGGGAGCTATATCAAAATCTGAACCGATTTTTACGAAACTTTACACACATGATTCCAGACTTAATTCAATACGCTGTGGCAAAATCCTTGCGTATCGAATTTGGTATAGGGATTTTGACACCATTTACCTTAAATCGGACGTAAATACAGATGGGAGCTATATCTAAATCTGAACCGATTTTCACGTACGTCAGTCTAGGCTTAATTCAGTACTTTATGCCAAATTTCGTGCAAATCGAAAGATATTTGGGGACTTTGGCGCACCATTTACCGTAAATCGGATGATATTATATATGGGATGATATTATCCAAATCTGAACCGATTTTCCCAATTTCAATAGCGTTGGTCCTTGGGCCAAATAAATAAGCTGTGCCAAATCATCCAAATCACATGTAGTTTATTTGCAATTTAACATTAACAGACGGACAGACAGAAAGTGATTCCAAAGTAATTTGCCAAGAGATCACTTGTTTTTTTCGACGTTCCCACGCCTCACATTCCCACCCCTGCCGACCGAGGAGGCGACCTCCCCTTACGTAGGGATCGCGTACACACCATGATCCGTATCATGATGGGATTTGAGAGTGCAATAGAAAAGTGAAGAAGGCGGCCATGTGGACCACTACTTGGCAGTAGCCTCTGCAGTAGCTGTACTCAGTCTCCTTCAATATAGATGACCACAGCTGAGCTGGCAAGAAAGCCTACATAATTAAAGTAGCTGGCATGGAAGGTATCTACTTTAGAAAAGTTGCCATCGTAGGACTCCACTTTAAATGAGCTGGCCTCAAGGGGTTCTATCTTAGACTAGATGGCCTCGTAGGACTCCAATTTAACTGCGACGGGTTTTGGAAAATATATTCTATTAAAAATCTACGATTTGTTGCCTCTTTTCAAAAATATGTTCTTTTAAAATTTACCCCCCACTTCAGAGGCAGTTTCATCAGAGTAGAGGTGCCCTGCACTTTAAATCAGTCGATTTTATATACCAGTTCTTTAAACAGACCCTGTAGTAGTTACACTTATTCGCCTATACTAAAGCTGTCCTAGTATGCCTTACGATTAGTGGAGCTAATCTGAGAGGCTATATCATTAGAGTAACTGGCCTTTGCAGGTCTTTATCATAAATTAGGTCGCCTCATAGGTAGGTAGGTAGCTTCGTTGGGCTCTACTTTAAATGAGCTGACCTCAGAAGGCTCTCCTTTCGAGTGATTGACCATAGATTACTTCATATTAGAGTTGCTGGTCTCGAAGTACACTAATTAAAAGTAGCTGACCTCAGAGGACTCTATTTAGGTTATCTGGCCTCACAGGACTCTAATTTAAATATGACGTTATATTAGGAAAAGTTTTAGCAAAGATTTTAACATAGCTGACCTCCGGCTGGTCTAAGAGACCACTACTTGAAAAATAAGACTCCGTAGAGGCGACTTAAGGGGACCCCCAATCTCGGGGTAGAATGGAGGGTCCCCTTAAGTCGTCATTTTGTAGAATGTCCCTACAAAATTTCAAGGGAAAATCTCTTGAAGATATAGCCGATTTATTGTGTCAGCATCAAGTGATTTATTGTGTCAGCATCAACTTTAAACGCGTTTTTCTCTTTTGTGAAGATCTTCCTTATTTTTCAACTTGGTTTTTGGTGAAAAATCGGCGATTTTCCAAAAATATTTTTTCAAAGGTCCGCCATTTTGTTAATTTTAGATCGAAGTCAATAATCCTAGTTCATACAAGAGACAGACATGTGGTCTTTCTAACACCGTTGGAATTTTCGGATTCCGATGTTCCAGTGGCGAGTTATCATGCCCGCCATCAAAAATAAGGACTTTTCTTTAATTGGTATTGATTTACCAGTCCATTGAAAACCTTGAAAAATTAAAATCGAGAATGGGGGGGGTTCCCTTTACTTAGTTCTCCTTGCAGGACAATATTTCAAATGAGCTGGCTTCAAAGGACTCTTATTAAAAAAGACCGGGTCACAGACTACTCTACTTAAGATATGTTGGTCTCAATCTCACTAATTTAAAGGAGATGGCCTCAGAGATCTCTAGCATGAGAATTCTAGTCTGAGATCTGCTCTTAAAAAATATATTTTCAAATTTGAAAAAAAAAACAAAATTTACCAAAGGTTTCTATTTAAAATACCGCCACAAGTCTAATCAGAAAACTAAAAATAAATCACTGGAACTAAATATTAAACAATTTAAATAAATGAAAAAATCCAAATTTTTTTATGTTCAATGACCTCAAAGCAAGAAATACGAATATTAAAAAGTTTATTAAAATCATTTTTTTTCTGAAAGAATCTTATACTTTCTGTATTGAAATTTTAAATGTATTGCCAATTTTTGTTTAAGGATTTGTTTGTTTTAAAAAAAATCATAATTTTATTTTTTTTAATCACATGGTGGCTCCACATAAAGAGAACCCTTTTAATAATTGTTTAAAATTTCCACGCATTTCTTTTAAAACACTTGAACTTTGATTAGCACAACACTACATTTTCACACTGATGGACGTGACTAATTTTTTATTCGAATTATTAATAGTTAAAATAATTTTATTTTTTTCAATACCATTCATTTTTGTCATTTTGTTGATAACTGTTTTCCACAAAATTTTTCTTCTTCTTCTTAAATAAAGGATTATTTTTTTAATTTTTATATTTATTCCACATTATTTTTTTTTTACTAAAATCAGGACTACCGCTTATTAGCAATTAGTTATTAATCCGTTCCGTTTGAAATGAACGATTGTCGAAAACTGTATGAATTATTCACATGTTTTCGAACTTATTGGCCATTGGTGTTAACTGTTTGTTAGTGTTACAGAGATAAACCAATCTATCACCAAAAAAGTTATTTTTTCATTTTTTTTTTTTTTTGATAAGATTTTCTTTCAGTGAGTGTTTTGAGGTCGAATCATTGTGTGGCGTTCACGATAAGCCGACGATAATTAGCAGATGTTAAACACCTGCATCATAGAATTTTTGTGAGTGTGTGTATTACTCAAGTTATTATTATTAATTGAATGAAATATAAGCCAACATTTTATAGATTTTTGGCGTAAAATTTCAAAGATTAGAAGGAGAGATATCGATAATTCTTATCTACGTATAAACCCTTCCTAAAAATCTTCTAAAAGGCCTCCAGAAAACATTCTTTATGTATTTTATTTTTTAAAAAAAATAAAAACGTTGGTCAGATGTTCTACAGACACCCTTCTTCAGGTCTTCTATAGACAGAAAATCTTCTTCATTTCTTCTACAGATAGGAGACCTTCTCAGGGTTTTCTATTGACAGAACCCCTTTTTGGTTCTTCTATAGTCAGAAGACCTTTTTCAGAACTTCTAAAGACAGAATTCCTTTTTTCAGGTTTTCTATAGACAAAAGACCTTCTTCTAGTCTTCTACAGATAGGAGACCTTCTTCAGGCCTTCTATACACAGAAGACATTCTTTGGGTCTTCTATAGGCAAAACTTCATTTTCTAGGAGACATGAATGACAGAAGACCTTCTTTAAGTCTCCTACTCCAGGGTTTCTCTTGACGGAAGAGCTCCTATGGGTATTCTAGTGTCAGAAGACCTTTTACAGAACTTCTAAAGACAGAAGTCCTTCTTCAGATCTTCTATAGACAAAATACCTTCTTCAAGTCTTCTACAGATAGGATACCTTTTTGAGGCCTCCTATATTCAGAAGTCCATTTTCAGGTTTCCCGAAGACAGGAGACCCTCTTTAGGTTTTCTATAGACAAGTTACAAGTTACAGATAGGAGACCTTCTTCAGTCCTCATATAGACAGAAGACCTTCTTTGGGTTTTCTATAGTCAGAACTTCATTTTCAGGTCTTCTAAAGACAGAAGACCTTCTTTAAGTCTACTTCTCCAGGTTTTCTATTGACAAAAGAGCTTCTATGGATATTCTAGTGTCAGAAGACCTTTTTCAGAACTTCTAAAGACAGAAGTCCTTCTTCAGATCTTCTATAGACAAAATACCTTCTTCAAGTATTCTACAGATAGGATACCTTCTCCAGGCCTCATATATTCAGAAGCCCATTTTCAGGTCTCCTGAAGACAGAAGACCTTCTTTAGGTCTTCTATAGACAAGTCTTTTACAGATAGGAGACCTTCTTCAGGCCTTCTATACACAGAAGGCCTTCATTGGGTCTTCCATTGTCAGAAGTTCATTTTCAGGTCTCCTAAAGACAGAAGATCCTCTTTAGGTCTTCTAAAGAGAGAAGATCTTTATGAGGTCTTCTATAGACAGAAGATCTTTATGAGGTCTTCTATAGACAGAATACCTTATGCAGGTCTTCAATAGACAGAAAATCTTCTTCACATTTTCTAAAGACAGAAGTCCTTCTTCAAGTCCTCTACAGACAGAAGAACTTCTTCAGGTCTTTTATAGACAGAAGACCTACTACGGGTCTTCTATAGTCAGAAGGTTTCGGGTCTTCTATAATCAGAAGACTTCAGATCTTCTATAGTCAGAAGACTTTTTTCACGTCTAATAAACGTCTTCTATAAACAGAAAAGCTTTTTCAGTAAAGAAGACCTTCTTCAGGACTTCTATAGAGAGGAGACATTTCTTATGTTTTCCATAAAAATAAAGACGTTCTAATCTTGTTCAGGTTTTGTAAAACGTTCTTTACATCTTTATTTTAACTGAATATATAATCCAGTCCTTCTATAGACATAAGACCTTTTTATTCCTTTAATTAACCATTAACCTACAAATTCCGTTAAAACCCCATGACGAATATTCTTCATACCCATACATATATTTCATTTTTTTTTTTGCATATTCATGCATATCTTCCACTCTCTCTTTCCACTTTCTTTTAACTCCAAAAAAAAACACATTCCATTTTTTTCATCCTAATACAGGTGTACGATTAGCTATGATAGCATTTTATTGGCAAAAAAAAATTTATAAAGATAACAAATTGAACACCTGTTGATTTTTTTTCAAATATTTTCTTAAATATACGCTTTTTGACATATCAATTTCCCACCGGTTTTTTTTCTGATGAAGTTTTTTTGTTGTTTGTTAATAATGAGCAATTAAATTGCGATAAGCCAATAATGGTACTCTGGTCAGTAGCCCGGCTAGAATATGTATTGAGAACGACGACGACGACAAAAATCTGGTTGATTATTAGTATTATTCGGTGACACACTCAAAATGGTTTTATATCGGTCATAATCTGATCTGATAATCAAATATCATATAACTGATACTAATTAGGGTTATAGTAACATGCATTTGTTATTTTGTAATATTAAATGTGTCTAGTAATTTACCAGAATTTCACTTTATAATTGTATTTATTTTTTCATTAAAGAAAAAGAAAAACTTATTTCATTTGTAAATTAAATTGTTCCTAATTTTAAATTCATTAGAATTGACTACATTTGATACTTTGAATATGTTTGGCATTTTTTGTATAGTAAGACTGTTAACTCTAATGCCAATATATCAATTTAAAACAAATTTTAATTGTCAGGGAATATTTAGAATTTTTATTTTAATATATTAAGAAATATTTATTTTTCCACTGTGATTTTATTGGTCTGTTCCCGTACTGCAAGAATTTACTCGATTTTAGTATTTTCTTCGATATCACAAAGGAAAATTCGTTATCGTAGTAAAACCAGTAGATTCTTGCAGTACGGGAACAGACCACATATATTTTCACATAAATTTTCTAAATCTATAATTTTTTCCATTTAAATTGTGATTTTAATAACAGATTTCTGTAGATGTTGGTTCATTTCCATTTTGTTTCACCATTGACTGTTTCATATTTCCTACGTTGCCAATCATTACTTTTCAGAGAATTGTCATTTTCCATATGTGCAATGTATGAGTGGCAATGCCTTTGACAATATGTTATTAATAGGGTTGCCAAGATAAAAAATTGAAATAAATTATGGAATAAGAAAGTTAGTGTTTCGTACACAAGAACTAGCAAACGTAGAAAATGCATAAAATAAATAAATAAAAAAGTGAGCCGAAATGGATTGAAGATTAAAGAAATTGAAAAATTATATAACTCTATTGTAATATAATTAATATTTTCATTCATGATTTCAGAATTATTTTTGAAATTGTCTGGACGTCACAAAGGCATTTTTTATTTTTTTTTGCAAATAGTGCATAGTTGAGTTGTCTTCGACTGTCAAGTCGCTTGTAAAAGCAGGGTTATATTTATAAAAAGAATAACCTTTGTAAATTTTGGTAAGTAAACAATGAGCAGAACACAAGTTCAATTGTGGTGTAACCGATTTCAGGAAGTCCGACAAGATATCAATGACGATGCTTGTCCTGATCGCCCAAATGCCTCATTAGGTGATAAAAACATTAAAGCAGTGAAAAAATGCTAAACTGGTCGATGAAAACTACCAGCAAAAATCGATGAATCGGGATTCGAATTGCTTCTACATCCTTTTTGTTTTCGAATTTAAAAAGAAAATTGATGAAAAGAAGAGTTGATCACCAAAACATGTACCTATCACCAAAACTTTGGACCAGCGTTTCCAAAACAGTATGCCTAGGGTCATTATCATTATCATATGAACCCAAAGTTCATAGCACTATGTATCAGAAATACCATTTTATTGTCACCCTGATCGAACATAAGAAAAAACGATATATTTTATTTCATTGCAGTATTTAACATCAGAGTAGCATGAAATCTTAGGCATATAAACAATATTGATAGTGTTGGGTTTGAAGATTTCACACCCAAAATTCAATATATTAAATATTAAATTACGGTGATGAAGCTCAAAGACCCCAGGATCTGCCTGAAATGGACTTTTTGCCCAAAAATTTGATTCTGGCTTATAGTGCACTTGTTACCAAATGAGGGTTTTGCATAATTATTTATTTTGAGCTTCGGCGCACACTAACGTTTTGACTGGTTTTATGCTCAAGTTATAAGCTGTAAATTGTATTTAGTATAACTGAAAAAATCCGACAATTCGTTCACAGTTTTCCCCAACTGGCGGTTGTAATATATCAACTAAATGACATCATAAGATAAACTTATGTCTGAAATTTTCTTAAGGGAACCCCCCCCCCCCCATTCTAGATTTTTTTTTTAAGATTTTAAATGGGCTGGTAAATGAATACCAATGCTTGTTAAGGTTTGTAACTTGGCACATATATATTTGAAGATTTAGAAACGAAGAAAAATAATTTACCAAAATTTGTTATTGTTGTTTTGTTGTTGTTTTTTGGGTTCAAAGAAAAGTCCATATTTTCGATGGCGGGCATGATAACTCCTCACTGGAACATCGGAATCCGAAAATTCCAACGGTGTTAGAAAGAGTACATATCTGGCGCTCGTATGAACTAGGATTATTGACTTCGCACAACAATTAACAAAATGGCGGAACTATGAAAATTTTTTTGGAAAATCGCCTATTTTTTACCACAAACTAAGTTAAAAAATAAGGAAGATCTTCACCGATTGGCTTAATCCTAGTTCATACGAGAGCTACACACTCCCAGAGCAACGTGTCAAAATTTGAAACCGATTGGATTATTAGTTTTTGAGTTATCGTGCCCGCCATTCGTTTTGAGAAAAACCCGTTTAAAGTTTGAGAAGCCCTTTAGCCGTCACTTGATGGTGACACAATAAATCGGCTATATCTTCAAGAGTTCTTGAGATTTTCAATTTTGTAGGAACATTCTAGAATTGGAGTAGATTCGAATTAAATCAAAAAATTTTTTGACACCGAGAATGGGGGGGTCCCCTTAATACTTTAATTAAAGGTATGTTGCGCACGCTAACTTATTTTGTCATCAAATGATTCCCAATACTAAGCAAATATAAATTGCATACTATAATAAAAAACAAGAGATATGTAAATAGTTTTTTGACACCGTTAAAACTGAGCAATATTTGTTTTTGTTGTACTTTTCTTTTATTTTGTAATCAATTTTAATTTGGTTGACTCAAACTGCATTGAGTGCAGCACACAATTATGATAAATGTCAAAAATAATATAATTAGTGTTATCCACGTGCAAACAAATTCATGACATATTGTAACTCCTAGGTATTGCCATTTCGGCCTGATAATCATTTATTTATTTCTAATGTATCACACTGTGATATTTTGACGCCTACAAGTATGCACATGAATTTATCCTCCACATGCAAATATTCGGTCGTCAATACGACCTATGTAGCAACCCGGAAAAAGTATTTATTCTCAGATAATTTCTAGTATCGCAATAATCAAACGTATTATTTATTAATCGGCTATTTCAAGTTTTCATACACCTGGCAATGTTTTTCATATTTTTTTCCCTCGAAATTTGCAAAAGTACTACGCTAAATTTAAACCAGTAAGGAAAGTAGTAAAGTCGGACGGGGCCGACTCTAGGATACCCTTCACCACTATGGGTACATTAAACAGGACTATTAACATGAAATTGGATGAAATAAAATATGTGATATTTATCTAAATGTGAATCTACCTAGATTTGTCCATAAAGTGTGTAAGTCGACTTCAAACAAATATAAATAGGTCATCCGGTTGACTATGTCTGTACTTCTAGAAAACGCAACTACGTAATTCTATGCTCAATTTTGTACGTTGTGCAAAATTTGATGTCAATCTGACTAACATGAGGAGTATGATGCCCAATTTGCTTGATATCGGGCGAAAAAATATATGTAAGCTATATCCACATATTAAGCGATTTCAAACAAACTTGTCACAGGTTAGGTTATACTAACTTTAGAACGTTTTGTTCCTATTGGTTCCTTGGTGCGTCAATTACATAAAATCAATCTATAATAAAATGGAGCTATATCTAAATCTGGACCGATTTTCACGAAACAAGGCAGACATCACTCTAGGCTCAATTCAGTACGTTATGCCAAATTTCGTGCAAATCGAAAGATATATAGCGACTTTGGTGAACCATTTACATGAAATCGGACGAAACTATATGTGGGAGCTATATAGAAATATGGACCGATTTTATCGAAACTTGGCAGACATCACTCTAGGCTCAATTCAGTACGTTGTGCAAAATTTCGGGCAAATCGAAAGATATATATGGATGTTGGTGCACAATTTACATGAAATCGGACGAAACTATATATGGGAGCTATATCTAAATCTGGACTGATTTTCACGAAACTTGGCAGACATAACTCTAGGCTCAATTCAGTACGTTATGCCAAATTTCGTGCAAATCGAAAGATATATATGGATTTTGGTCACAATTTACATGAAATCGGACGAAACTATATATGGTAGCTATATCTAAATCTTGACCGATTTTCACGGAGCTTGGCAGACATCATTCTAGACCTAAATGATTAGGCTGTACCAAATTTCGTGCTAATCGAAAGATATATAGGGACTTTGGGGCCCCATTTACATTAAATCGGACGAAACTATATATGTGAGCTATATCTAAATCGGGACCGATTTTCATGAAACTTGGCAGACATCATTCTAGGCCCAATTAAGTACGTTATGCCAAATTTCGTGCAAATCGAAGGATATATAGGGACTTTGGGGCACCATTTACATGAAATCGGACGAAACTATATATGGGAGCTATATCTAAATCTGGACCGATTTTCTTGAAACTGGGCAGACACCATTCT